CCCTCCAGCAAAGAACCCGGTAACAAAGCTTCAGCTAACATAGGTGGTTTGGTGCCATAGAGAGCCTGGTAGGGAGACATGCCCAAGGACGTGTGGAAGGTGGTGTTATACCACCATTCAGCATGGGCCAAAAGAGCCTTCCATTTCTTTAGTTTGGTAAAAGTCATGCAACGAAGATAGTTCTCGAGGCATTGATTAACCCTCTCTGATTAACCAACGGTTTGTGGGTGATGGGCAGTGCTAAAATGAAGTTTAACCCCAGCCTTTTCAAAGACTTCCTTCCACATGTTGCTGGTGAAGATGCGATCTCTATCACTGACAATGACAGTGGGCAAGCCATGGAGTTTGTAAAAATTCTCCAAGAATTGAGTGAGTATTTGGTCAGCAGAAAAAGGGTGGCTGAGAGCAATAAAATGAGCATACTTGCTGAATCTATCAACAATGACCCAAATAACATCCTTGCCTTCAGATTTAGGTAAACCCTCCACGAAATCCATAGTAATGTGAGACCAAGCCAAATCTGGGAGAGGAAGAGGTTGGAGTAGGCCTGCTGGCATTTGGTGTTCAGTCTTGTTCTTTGGACAAACTGGGCAAGCTTTGACAAACTGAGCTACTGCGGCTTTCATTCCAGGCCAATAGAAGAGTTGTTTCAGTCGTTGATATGTTGCCCTTTCCCCAGAATGGCCTCCCATGGCAGAATCATGAAAGGAAACCAGTAATTGAGTTCTTAAATTGGTACCTGCCCCAATTACAAGGCGATCTTTGTACCTGAGAATGCCAGCCTTCAGAGTATATGGGGATTGAGGTTGAGGTGCTATGTGTAGGTGGCTCTCCAATTCTTGGCATTTAGGATCATGACTGTAACTAGCAATCACCTCGGTGATCCATTGAGGCACAATAACTATAGTAGTAAGAGCATTACTCTGCTGAATTCTGGATAGTGCATCAGCAACTTTGTTTTCCTTGCCTTTCTTATATTCAATCTTATAATCATAGCTCAACAGTTTGATTAACAATTTGTGCTGAACACCTTCTGTTATCCTTTGTTCATTAATATATTTCAAGCTTGCTTGGTCAGTTTTGATAATGAGAGAAGTACCCAAAAAGTAGTGTTTCCATTTCTTAAGAGCCTCCAATATAGCCAAAGCCTCTTTGTCATAAGTGGATAAAGCAGTAGCTTTTGGTCCTATGGCTTTACTGAGATAAGCAAGGGGTCGTCCATTTTGCATCAAAACAGCTCCGATCCCATGGCCACTTGCATCAGCTTCCAACACAAAGGGAAGAGAGAAATCTGGCATGGCCAGAACAGGGGCTTGAGCAAGGTGCAGCTTGATGGTATCAAAGGCTTGTTGCTGTGCTGTTGGCCAATGGAAATTGTTCTTTTTCAAAGCATCAAACATGGGTTTGCAAATAATACCAAAGTTTTTTTATAAATCTTCGGTAACAGCCTGCCAAACCCAAGAAACCTCGCAGTTGAGTGATAGAAGTAGGAATAGGCCACTATTGGACTGCTTGAATTTTAGCTGGATCAGTAGCAACTCCTGATTAACTGATGATGTATCCCAAATATTCCACTTGAGATTGCCCAAAGGCACACTTGCTTAATTTGGCAAATAAATGATGCTGTCGCAATAGTTGGAGCACTAGGCTCAAATGCTGGACATGATATGTGACTGATTTGCTATAAATAAGGATGTCATCAAAGAAAACAAGCACAAATTTGCACAGATATGGTGCTAAAATCTGGTTCATAAGGGCCTGAAAGGTAGCAGGAGCATTGGTTAACCCGAAGGGTATCACTAAGTATTCAAAATGACCCACATGAGTGCTGAAAGCTGTTTTATGTATGTCGGGTTCATGCATGCGAATTTGGTGATACCCAGACCGAAGATCAATTTTGGAAAAGACTTGAGCTCCCTATAATTCATCCAACAAATCTTCAATAACAGGAATAGGATACTTGTTTTTGACTGTATTGGCATTGAGTTGGCGATAATCAACACATAAACGCCAAGTGCCATCTTTTTTCTTCACTAAGATAGCTGGGGAAGAGTAGGGACTCATGCTTGGCTGAATTGTGTAAGAGGTTAAGAGTTGCTGAACTATGTCTTCAAGGGCATTCTTTTTGTGATGAGGTAATCTGTAAGGCCTGACAGTAACTAGTTTAGCTCCAGGTAAGAGTGGTATTGTGTGGTCACAATCTCTTTTGGGGGGTAGGGTATCAGGTTTAGCAAAGACATCAGTGAATTGCTGAAGTACTGCAGTGAGAGCTGGTAATGGAGTTGTTGCTGTCACAGGGCAGAACTTAAGAAGTGACAATAGAGAACAGCTCCCACCACTCCCTGGTTGAGCAATTTTTCCATAGCATGTGCTGGTACCACAAAGTTGGATGAAGGGACACTGATATCTGGCAATGTGATTTCCAACAAGCCATCTTTAAGAATTGTTAATTCTCTTGTTTTGAGATTGAGAGTCAAAGGGCTGTGGAGAAGAATCCAATCACACCCCAAAATTATATCATAACCAGTAATGGGAAGTAGCCTGAATGAATTGGTGAATTGATACTGCTGAATAGTATAAGAAACATTGACACATTTAGCTCCAGTATAAATAGTGCCCCCATTGGCCACCTTAACAGGAATAAGACTATTGTTAACTATCTCCAAGCCAGCTTTGCTAACAAGTTTAGGGGAAATAAAGGTAGTAGTACTACCACTATCAATCAATGCTGTGGCAAAAATTGTGCCAATGCACACATGAACAGTAAAAGTGGTAGCAGCAGTATTTGTACCCTCCAGAGCATGCAGGGACAAGTCCTGATGTGTAGTGGCCACATGTTCAGGACTGCCTGGTGGTGTGGTAAACTTGGTGTCAGCATTATCAGGTGATTCTTCCCCATCATCTTCCAATGTAACCAGATAGATCTGTTTAGGTGCTTTGCATACTCGACCATGTCCAGGAACCCAGGGTTCTTGACATTTGAAGCATCTGCCAAATGGCTTAGGTGCAGTGGTAGGATGAGGTTTATCGTCCTTCAAGACAGGTTTTGCCGGTATCCTGAGAGTGTCTTTGTTCTGTGACAATGCCACTGTGGTAGTACTGCGAGGAGGAACATCATAATTCCTTGCATGTTCATAAGCATCAACCAAGGAATGAATGTGTAAGGATTTCAGTGGCCGTTTGATATGATCCTTGAGGCTAGAAATGAAATAATCCAAAAGGTACTGCTCAGTTAGATTGGGTCTATTTCTTTTCACCAGAGCCATGACTTCCTCAAACTTGTCTATATAGAACAGAGCTGTACTGTTTCAAGTTCCTGAAGGTATCAGTGATTTCAATGTTGGATTTGGCTGCAAATCTTTGACAAATCATAGTCTTGAAATCTGGCCAGGTCGACCTCTCAGTGGGAACATCAGAGCTGGAAATCCACTGATCAGCACGACCTGTAATGTAAATTTCAGCCACTAAAACTTTCTCTTCCTCTGGTGTTTGGTTTAGAGCGAAATACTTTTCAGCTTTCCTTATCCATGATTCAGGACTTTCACCATTGAAAATAGGAAAATCAACATGCTTGGATCTTCTATGTGCATTCTCGGCATATTGATTTCGTTCCCGGCCAGGGGGTTCATGGTAATTAACAAATCGTCTGTCCCAATTCTGCTGAGGAAAAGGTTGGTTAAGTGGTGTATGGGGTGGTGGTGGGTGTTGGTAAGGAGGGATGTTCCAAGGTGTGTTATAGGGAGGGTAGGGAGGGTAATAAAAAGGTGGTATATACTGGTGGTTCACATTATAGGGATTGTAATTTGGGATGTTGGGCAAGTTGTTTTGGTTAGGTGGTGGAGGTGGAGCTGGTGGAAATGGTGGTGGAACTGTAGGTGTGTTAAAGTAAACAGAGGTATTCCATTCAGGTGGTGGGGGTGAGACATGTTTGGGAGTGAAAACAGTTGGTGGTAGGTCTGCTGTTTCTATGGTATGGGTCTGAATTGGGCATCTAATGTTTCTAGAATCAAAAAGGGGTTGTCTGTTGGTACTAGCTGCATTAGTGTCCACTGCTTTTCCCCCCTCCTACAACAAACTGTGCAAAACCAGGTGTTTTCGGTGTTCCCTTGATTTCCTGCCCCATGCAACTAGTTGTTCCCCCTAACATCTCTTGAATTGACAACAAATTTTGCATAATCTCATCCTTGTGTACTTGAGCCTGGACTGCTTGGTTTTGAAGCTGCTCCTGGACCAGCTTATGGTCTTCTTCCACCTTCCTTTGCAAGTCCACCATGTGCAGCCTGAGTTCTTCCACCGCTGTCTCCCATGGTTGAACCTCCTCTAGAACTGGCTCTTCCACTCGAGGTCCCCTTGGCATGGTTGCAAACACAGATCTAGGAATTTCACAGGGGAACAACTAGTTAGTCCCCAAACCCTCACTGCTCTGCTAAAGTTCTTGCTCCCCTGATCTGATTCCTTGGCCTCGCTTAGGAATTTTACCAGGAAAACAAGTTTCCCAACCCTCACTAGCCTGGACTATCAGATCCGGAGTGCTCCCATCAGATCTGAAGCTCTGATACCTTTTTGTTAGGAACCAAACGATTTTGGTTCAAACAAATTTGGGGGGAAAATTCAGATATGGCAAATAGCTAACTAATGGGAATCCTAACACAACAAGAAATGAAATTGTAATGCTGAAATCATATAGAATCGAAGGAAATATATGTGTGCGCCGCAAGAACAGGAGGGGAAATTATATTAGGGTTCAAGTTCGATAAAAGTTACAGCCAGATCGCATGGGCTTATATGGAGTGCGCCCTCAGCTAAACGACAACAGCGATGACGTCCATAGGAAGACAATCTCCCTCTCTGTAGCACGTCGCGGCGAAGCACAACCCTCCGATCTTCATAACAGCTCAAAACAAACCGGTATCAGCGAATCTCGACCGTGGATTCATTCCCACTCATAACTAGAGCCAATACTGAACTCTGAACTCTGAACTCTGAATACTCTGGATATTAAGCGCTCTGGACTGAACAGTCCTCACAGCCACCGCCTCCGCCGCCGCACTGAGCGCGATGGCAATAGCGGAGGGGGAGGCAGCGCATGGCGTCTTCGCCTACGCCGCCGCGGCCGACTCAGCATCCGCAGACGACCCGATGACGGTGAAGATGCTGCGCGACGCCGCCGCGGATGTCGTTAGCTCCTCCACGGCAACGCGCATCCACCTCTTCCGCGAAATCCTCCCGCCGCTTCTCAGCCGCGGATCTGGTATGCTCCTCTCTTTGCTCTCACGCGAGATCCCTCACTCCCTTAAGCACAACGACCTTCTCCCGCTCCTCCATAGGCCTCGTAGAGCACATGTCTCGCGGAGACACCAAGGACACCTCCTCTGTTTGCCTCAGGGTGGGTCGACATTTCACCGAACAGGTTGCAGGCACCAACCACACCCATGCCTTGCCAGATGCCACTGCCTACTCCATGTCAAGTTTGCTGCAAACATCATGCACACACCGGGCCTGCAAATTTGCAATAGCTCTTGCCGCTTCAAGACATGAATATCTCTTGTTGTATTTCCACACCTTCACAACACCATAAGGATCAAACACCTAATGAAGCACCATCTCAGTGATAGGATATAGGACATGTGTAGTGGTGAACCTGAGGACACGATTTAGGACTGCCTTGAGCGTTTTGCTGAGGCCTGGCGTTCCATCAAACACTTGGTGGGCGCCTGTTTGCTGAGTATAATCCAGTCTGACCACCGGTCGCTCCTCTGCCATCTCTGGTCTTCCTATCCACTTCCATGCTCCCGATCCCATGAACAGTAGGCTCTGATACCATATTATCATGAAGCAAGCACAATAACTCCAATAACATATTGACATGAGTCCCAGTTTTTATGCAGATTTTGATTGTTCTGTGCCAGTATTTTGGTCACATATGCAAGAATTTCATGTATATATGCCCTGTGACCGACTTTCTCACATTCCTTTGTTTCCAAATGCAGATTCAGCATTATTTGTTGCACAATTGATACGTTTCATTTTCCGAACGTTGCCAGTGTATGATGATCAAGCATCTAATAATGCAGTAGATGATCTTGTTCAATTGGCTTTGAGAAAACCAACCTTCTTGGGGCATTTTGCATTTATGCTTGTTGAGACAATGGAGCAAAACATGAAGTTTAGCAGGCCTCCACTTGTATGCTTCAAATTACTGAGATGGTCGATCTGTCTTTTGAAATTGAAACAACAAACAGAGCATGATTTCTCAAGAATATTCAATGCACAAGCAATCTTGTGTCAAACACTAATGACTGAAAACTTCCGTCACATCCATTCATGCAGACAGTTATTTGTCCATCTTTTTTCTGAGGTATTTTACATACATAACTGCATCAGATGTAGTTGCTATAGTTGTCTTAATAGTTATTTCATATTTAATCTCTTTTCCAGCTCAGCGAAACTAACAGGATTACTTGTTTCATATTTTGTTTCTTTTCCAGCTAAGTGATGTCCATAAAATGTATGTAGAGAAGGTCAGAAATTCTATGTTTCATGTCAGGGAATCTCCACAATTCTTCAAGTTGATACTAGATTTTGCGATGACCTCTTCATCCTTGTCTTCAGAATACAAGGTAAATATTCAAACCCATGCTTGGCTATTACTTTTCATTTGTTTCTTGTGCGTTCCACATATATTCACAAGAGCACAAGCACCCTTGCATGGATTACACACAGAACGAATATTACTGTGGACCTGGCTTCCTAGGTACTTCCCTTGTTAAGTTTTTATCTAACATTGACAATCTGTTGCTATCCCTTTCAGCAAGCTTTCCTATATTTATATGTTGGAGCGATCATAAATTCGAAAGATCAGCCGTCACAAGAATCAAGTTGAGCTTTTGTGTATCTTTTATCACATATTGGGTGTGACGACTTTGAGAAGGTTGTTCTTCCATCATGCTTAAGTGCCTTGAAAGAGAATCCTCAAGGAGTGCTCCAATCTATTTGTTACCTTCTGAAGATTATCTGTCTTGACCTAAGCAAGTATTGCATGGTGTTTATGCCAGATATTCTACGTCTTGTTCAGCATTCTGATGAACAGATGAGGGCGGATGCTTTGGTGATTGTTGGGACATTAATTATAAAATCCACTGATCCTGAAACGCTAACTACTATGCTGGATGCTATTACAACAAGTCTAGGAGGTTGTACATATATATTTTCTATTATCTCAATAACTCTTATACATTGTGAATTTTGATTTAGTCATCTGATACATTCTATGTGATCATATTAGCAGTACTATTTGTAATGTTTTAGATCCTGCTGGTTTGATTCATTCTTGACACATTCAAAAAATTTGCTATAGAAACTCATGTAGCTCTTAAAGTCTTGACAAGCTTGTTCTATGCAGGTTCTAAGGAAGAACTATCAAACACATACAAGAGAATTGGAATGATAAAGGCATTAGCAGAACTGTCAACATCTCCAGCTGTTCACCAAATAAACACTGTTGCTGCCTCAATATCTGGTTTCCTCATGACATGCTATAAGGATGATGGTAAAGTTAAAGTGTTCCTATCTATGCTTGATGCTCTCATCCAAATGGATCTCTCCATAGTTTTGCCAGCTATTGACAGGTATAAAGCAGGTCAAAATGGCAATTCTCTCAGCTTTGGGATCCTTGAGTTCAGCATCAGCTGAAGCTGTTCAACCAGATCTTGTTTCATTCATAACTACAGGCCTGAAAGATGAAGTCTGTTTAAGGAAGGGTTATCTAGAGTTATTACGAGCTGTATGCAAAAATTCTGCTGCATTAAGAAAGGTAAGAAATATACTTGTAATATTTGTCTAAAAAAAAAACATCTAGCCTTCCTCCAATCCACCAAAAAAGTAAGGGGTTTCGGTGCATGTTGGTTATGAAAACATACTCTACTGTGCAGATCACCAGTTTGTTGGATCAGCTGGTTCAGTTGCTGATAATTAGTTTCACAAGCACAACACAACGATTGGATGGAATTTACACACTCTTTGCAGTATCAAGAATTGTTGCTGTTGATACAGATGCAAGTTTACCTACAATTTGCTCTGCTATCTATGATGCTTGTGGGCAAGTGGACCTCTTCACATTGATTTGCCAAAATGAACTATCATCGAATTCTGCCCTATCGGTAATTTGGGGTGCCTTGAATTTCTACTGTGGAAGTTTTTACCACCTGCAAAATAATTTAGACTGCACATTTTATCTCCTCTGCACTGCTGGTTCATATCATGTCATAAACGTTGGAGTCATTTTCTGTGTCTATTATCGATTGATGTAATTAAGGGGTATGTTTCACCATATCATTCCCATTTTGTTTGTTTTTCTGAATATGATGAAAAGCTGCATGTATTATCATCATGATAACATGCCTGTAGAAAAATAAATTAATGTGAAGTAATGCTGTTCTTCATGGTAATTGACAGCAATTTTAAATTTGCAAGTTAGTACAGTTCTTTTGATGCTATCATAGGAGTTAATTATACTATGGTGTTTTTAATACCGATTTTCTCCTGGCAGCTTTCAGAACTGTCAGATGAAGATTGCTTGGTCACTGTGGATCTTGTTCAATCATTAATTGTGGAAAATCTTTCTTGGTATCTCTAAGCATTCCCCTTACATTTATCTGCATTGCCTTTTATGCATTATGTTTGTTGCATTAGCCATAACCACTTAACCAGTGTCCTTTTTGTCTTGCACCATTTTTGAACTGCAGGGTTAAGGAAAAAATCTCTATCCAATCATTACTACAGGTATGCATGGAGTAATGTTCCAAATTAATGATTTGTGTTGTGGCCCCGAACTTCTTTTGAACCCCTTGTATTGACTAGTAGCGTCTGTGGAGTATGGAAAGTAGAGTAGGACGCTTCAAATATCATATCAAATTGCACTAATTATCTTTTATCACACAGCTGCTAATTCATCCGGCGTGCCACCCACATCGTGAAGTTAGGAAGTTAGCTTATGTTGCTACCGAGAAAATACTTGCAAGCACTGCTGTTTTAGGCCAAGATCTTCTCCTCTTATTCAATAACTGGTTGTCATTGATTGGAAATAGAACATTAACTTTGGAACAAAGGTACATTATTCTTGTCTTATCAATAATTAATGCTTCTTTATTAGTAGTTCTTCACTATAGATTTCCACTTCCTGACACCTCTCCTTTATAACCAATGACGTGGATAGGTCTACTGCTGCAAATCTGTGTCCAACACCTATTCCTTCTACTGGGGTCCTTATCAGGTTCTTGTTTTTGATTGCACCTTATGTGGTTGGCCACAGCCCAAGATCATATTCTCAACTTATATTGTGCTCCCACCACCCTTGTATTTCCAACTCCCGCCCTGCTGCTGTTTGGAAGGTTTGCTCTTGCTAGCTATCTTTTGTGCTCGTTTCGTGGCTAATTGGTTTGTTTTTCTAACTTCAGAGGTTGCAGAGAGTTTTGAAGCACCACCAGATCGTTTTTATTGATTTAATTGCTACCAACATGTCGGCAATATTCATGGTAATTATTATTTTTAATTATTTTTTACATGTAGCATCTTTATTTGCCGGCTGAGAGTATGTTATATTTCTTTTTGATATACTTTGAATATAATAGATCATTGGGTTTTCTGAACCTCGCACCAAATGTAAAGAGGTTCAAAATGCTTAAGGAAAAAAAAAGCTGAATGTATACTTCTGCTTAGCATGTGTATATTGTTACATACTGCATTTCTGAATTTGGTTGTTCAATGGCAGTCATTGGCCTGGTTACAACATCTTCTGTTTTGCTATGATTCTAGGACATGATTAAGCTAGAATAAGCTGTGTTTGTACTGTGGTGAAGGCTACTTAGTTTCTAGGGTTGTTTGTTAATATTTCACATCCCTCTATGTACCATATACCTATCCAAGCAGTTGCTTGCAGTCCACCTGCCTTTTGTAATCTTTGTTTTTGAGGTCAGCATGTTCAGGTCGGTCATCTTGACCCCTTGGAACATCCTTAAGAAAACATGATACATTAATGAAGTGAACACATCGATTACTGTTTTCTTAAAGTATGTCAAATAATCATTATACCTTGTAAATATGATTTCAAACAGTTTTATTAAAGTTATGAACCAATTTCAAATAGTTGCGTAAGGTTAGGGCTATTTTCACAATTTTCTTGGTTGGGTTATTTCAAGCAAGATGAATGGATGGCTAAATCTGCTGAGAAAAGGATAAGGTACCTAATCTATGTGTTAATTCTGTCTATACTCTATAGAATACCGTACAATTCTTGTCCTAATTGGCCCAAAACGCGTGCATTCTGATGACATGCCACTTGAGAGATGTTGTAGTTTCATTTGAAGGATAAAAAGAAGGGGAGATATGCTGTTGTATTTTAGTAGTATACATTATAGTGCATATTCTATGTTACATTTTGTCTGTCTTTCCTTATTCTCTTCTTAATGCTGGCTCTATAGCATTATTTTCAGAAGATTTATTATTCACGTTTACTTCTAATAACCTAGAATATCTGTATCATCCATAATCTAATTTACTATTTGCCATGCATTTCTTTGTTGGGGAGCACTGATTACCAATAGTTTTATTTCCAGGAATTACTTAGACAGGATGACTCCTTAACCTGTGATGAATATGCACTTGAAGCAAGATTACATTCATTACGGACAGTAGCAGCAATATTACCCAACAACGGACTTCCAGAATTCGAGGTATGTTTCTTGATTTTTCTAATAAAACCTGTCTATTTTGTTTACACTTTCTTCTACGGTTGTCTTTTGAGAACCAGCACATTAGAGTTCAAGTCGTTCACATGACCTGTGATGTTTTTTGTTGTTTCTGTGACTAAGCTAAAATTTGCAACTATTGTTTGGTGAAAGGGTGGCAACAATCTTCAGTAGGCCAGAAGTGCTGAACCATCTGAAGCAGCAAATGCACCACCCACGGTCTCAGTACCAGCAGGAAGTAATGCAACACATCCAGTCACCCCAGTACCACAGCCACCAGCACCAGCAGCTGATCAGCTGCAGGACATGATTCCTATGCAAAAAGAAGTAAGCAAATTTGTTTGTTCTTATTTCTTCATTGATTAAACACATCCTCGTGAATAACATGTACCACCAATGTAATCGCAGGCTTTCATTAGCCTGCTAAAAGCAATCTCCACTAGTGCTGCTTCTGCCACCGCAACAATCGCCATCTTTGTAGTAAGCTACCCCATTAAATGGCCAGATAAAGTGTCAGTTAATTACCAGATGATACTGGAGGCTCTCCTCTTTGTTTTCTTTCCTCTGGCCCTTCTTGCCACGGGCTTATCCCATGCTGCTGAGAAAGATGAGAGATGGCTTGGTCTTGCTTCTGCCTTGGTTTTATTTGAATTCTTTTATGCTTTGGCTTTGGGGGGAGGGATATCCATCGCTATACAAGTGAGACCAAGAATTGCAGTGTGTGCCACAGTATTCTCTTCTATGGTGGTGATTACTTTTGCGTGGAGTTTAATGTTCTCGCACCCGGAGGTATGTTAATAGACCTTAAATATTTTAGTTTAGGTTCCCTCGATCTTTTTGTATTTTTTCTGTTTTTCACTAGAATCAGGTTGTAACTATTGCTGGTTACTATTCCAAACAACAGTTCTTAAAGAAGATGCACTTTTGGGCGCGCCACCCAGACATGCCAACAGGAGACATGCCCCAGTCTCCCCGAAGTTCTCTCTCGAAGCTTTTCAAGGTATGGTTTTTAGGCATTCATACGGGTTATGGGTATTCCTTTTCGTTGGTTCTTACATTAGCTTTAATTGGCTTACTTGTAAACCATAGTGGTTCAAGAAGGAGTCGTCTGCGCCTAGTCAGGAGTCAGTCACAGAACAAGTTATGCCCCAGCCAAGTTTTCGGTCCAAGTTCATCGAGGTATGGTTTTTAGGCGCTCATACTCTAGCATGATTATTCCCTTCTGTTGGTGGTTCTTACAGTGGCTTTAATTGGCTTGTATCTAAACCATAGTGGCTCAAGAGGTCGCCGCCGCCAGTCAATTTGTGCGGTATCAACATCGATAAGACCTCTTCTCAAAAAAAAAAAAAAACATCGATAAGACCTGATGACATTTGGATTGACATGATGATACCTGATGGATATCGAGCTGTATAGACGCACTTTCTCGTTTGCTTTGGCTGTACCTGTAATTAATGAATCCTGTGTAGCTGTATGGAGTGCAGTTGTTTGCAATTTGGACGCCGCTTTTTTAGAAAATTCAAACTCGGGTAATAATTATACTAACTATATTTATACTAAGTATTATGCATGTTATATCACTAAATTCATATTTTGAAATATTTCATCTGATACTAATTTCATATTTATTGGGATCATAAAATGGAATAAAATACTAGTCAAATATGTTATTGAAAACCGTGTAAAAAAATATAAACCTTATAATATGGGATAGAGGAAGTACCACGCAACATTTCGTGACTGGGAAAAAAAATTTGATGGCATGAATAAAAACATTTTGGAAATTTGACTTGAGCGTTACAAGTACAAGTATAATTTTGAATTTTTTTAGTTGAGATTGAAAGATTTTGATTCGAATTTGAGTTGAAAGTTTTAGTAAATCCCTTGTGTACACATGAAAACTCACCTAATCTCTTCTATACCCTCCAATTTTACACGATCCCCTCTGTATCCCTAAAATTTTGCTTTGATCCCTTCCATGCCCTTTCCGTTAGGTTTCCTTCATTTTCACATTATGTGTGGTTCCTAATGTCTAAAACACCCCTGTAGATGGAAGAGTGCCATCTAGAGTGGCAGCAGGAGGGAGATGGCCGGCGATGCCCGCGCGGCAGGAGGGGCGGCGGCCCGCGGCCCGCGCGGTGGGAGGGGTGGTGGCTGGTGGCCCGTGCGGCGGGGGCGCGGTGGCCGGCGACGCTCACGCGGTGGGAGGGGTGGTGGCGGCGTGACAGCGGCTGGACGACGGCGCGTGCGGCGGGAGGGCGGTGGCCGGCGACGCCCCGTGCGGCGTGACGGCGGCTGGACGACGGCACGCGCGCGGCCGGAGGGGCGGCGGCCGACTGCCCGTGCGGCAGGGGCGTGGTGGCCGGCGGCTCGTGCGGCGGGAGGGCGGTGGCCGGCGACGCCCGCGCGGCGGGAGGGCGGCTGGACGACGGCGCCCCGCGCGGCGTGACGGCGGCTGGACGACGGCGCGCGCGGCCAGAGGGGTGGTGGCCGGCGCCCCGCGCGGCGGGAGGGCGGCTGGACGACGACGCGCGTGGCCGGAGGGCAGCGGGACGGCGGCGCGCAGAGGCCGTTCGCGTGGAAGAGGATGCGGGAGAAGGAAAGGGGAACTTTAGTTAGGGTTGGCAGGGGCATTTTGGTATTTTCTAAAAATACTGACAACACAATACACGGTTTGAGCAACGTATCTAATGGAAACCTAACGGGAGAGGCATGGAAGGGATCAAAACGAAATTTCAGGGGTACAAAGAGGATCGTGTAAAATTCGAGGGTATAGAAAATATTAGGTGAGTTTTCATGTGTACATAAGGGATTTACTCAAAGTTTTAAAATTTAAGTTCGAACTTTTACAATTTGAGCTGATTTTTAAAAAAGTTTAAGCTCAAAGTTTAGTCCGGTCGGCGTCTACATGTGCATGAAGTCCGCCGCAACCTAGGATTCCTAATTCGCGCGTACGCGCCCCGTGCGCGTGGCGGCACTGCGTTGTTAGATCGATAATTTTTTATAATAACGTGTTTAACAAGTTAGTTAAAGATAATGACAGTAATTAAGGAAAGTTTATCTTTTTTTAGAGATATTTTACTAATAGATTGAAATTTTTCAAGTTACATTTGAAAACTTTGGACTTAAAATTTAAACTTTGAAGTCAAATTTTGAAAACTTTCAACTCGAGATTTGAAAACTTTCAACTCGAATTTGAAACTTTCGACTCGAGATTTGAAATTTTTTTACTCAGATTTGAAAACTTTCAACTCAGGTTTGAAACTTTCAACTCGAGATTTGAAAACTTTCAACTCAAAATTCAAAAACTTTTAACTCATATTTGAAAACTTTCAAGTCGATATTTTGGAAACTTTCAAATCGTATTTTCAAAATTTTCAAGTCAATATTTGAAAACTTTTAACTTATTTTTATTGAGAAATTACTTCTCTAACGTCACGCGTGCTGTTTTGTTTAAGAAAAGCACTACTACTGAGACAGAGGCCCGCGTGCTCGCTGACTTCATGTCCTCACGCGTGCGTGCGAGCTAGCACCCCCGCCACAACCTCGACACCTCGTGCACCACTTGATGGCGTGGAATTGCTTTCTTTGGCCTACAGCCGTTTCCCTTTGCAAAAAGTATACTTTGACTCCCTCAACTATTGCCCGAGTATGATTATCTCCTCCAACCATAAAACCGAGTATATCGACTCCTCCAACTATCAAAACCGGTGCAAACAATGCCCCTCCGTGGTTTTGGAGGTAGTTTTGGCTGACGTGGTGTCTACGTGGCAGTCTTGACCGAGTCTTTGACCCATGTGGCGCTTACATGGCATTAGAACAAAAACAAAAATTAAAAAAAAATAGGACCCATATGTCATTGGCACAAATAAAGTATTGTGGGACCCACATATCATCCACCCTCTCCTTCCCTTCTTCCTCCCCGGTCCCCACTCTCTCTCGCTTACTCCTCTCTCTCTCTCTCTCCCCCCGGCCTTCTCCATGGGCGGCGCGTCTGGTGGTAGACTGGTAGGGGCGGCACCGTCGGGGGCTAACCCAGAACGACCGGCCGGGGCCAGCGCCCGTGCCGTCGTCGGCCATCGACTCGTTCCCGACGGTGCAGACCTCCGGAGCGCACCTGTCTGACGGCTCGCAGTGCCCCGTCTGCAAGGAGGACTTCGAAGGAGGGGCACTTGGCGCTGTAAGCTATCCTGTGCATGGCGGCGACCGTGTCGATCTCTGCGGCGGCGGCGACCTGTACCGTCTTGCGGCCGCTTGCCGGCGTCGGCTTGGGTTTGGGCTTGAAGTGATCGACGTCGTTCTCCTTGCTGCTGGCGGCGGGATGGGGAGGAACATGAACTTCTCCTTGCCGTCGTTGTGGCTGCGGCCGACGACGAGCTCGCTGATGCGTGTTGATAAACTTTGTTGTGTCCTCGTCTCCCTCTCATATTTCTGTTAGCTAGTTGTTAGACTTAGCGTTTTTTCAGTTCCCTCTGAGTCGGAGTCTGTTAGCCCACGACGCCATGCGCGTGGAGCATTTTCTTTCTGTCCGGGTCGCTCGCCTGTATCGCCGGTTCGTGTGGGATGGCACGCGATGTAGTGGCGTATATATGGAGCGCGCATATTGCATCTGTAATCGCGTGAATAAAAGGAGAAGAAAACCCGAAAACCCGCGGTGGCATTTGCAGCACAAACAGCCTCTTTTCTGTTCGTCATCTTAGGTTAGTTTCGTTCCATTGAATCTCCAACAATGCGGCGCCACCGCGCCATGGAACCCGTTGAGCCGCTCTTCCTGGGCGGGCGTGGGGAGGCCGAGGCCGAGGCGGGGCCGGCGCCGGGAGTCCAGAGACAGTAGCTCTCCGGCGGCGCGCCGTCCAGGCCGCCCTCGTCGGACGCCACCGCGGAAGACGACGACGACGTACGTGGAAGAGGACCACCTGTCGAACGAGCCACGGGACTCCTCGAGGAAGAGCCGCCCGAGCGGGGCCCTCGTCCCGTCGTTCGCGCGGCTGCACCATTGCCGCAGCATCCTTGGCCAGCTACTGCTGACGATCGCCTCCTCCCCCGGCGCCGGCACGGCCGAACACCGGGTAGAACGGCTTGATGCAGCCGTCGGCGAACAGGTCGTCGGCCACGGCGGCGGTGCCCGCGGGGGATTTTTTTTTTGTCCGACAATACTTTATTTGTATGAATGATGTATCGTCCCACATATTTTTTATTTTTAATTTTTTTATAATGCCACGTAGGATAAAGAATCGGTCAAGACTGTCACGTAGGCGCCATGTCAGCTGAAACCATCATGTTTGAAGGACATGAATCATACCCGGGCGCAATAGTTGAGGGAGTCAAAATATACTTTTTCCTTTCCCTTTTAGGCTTGACCCATCTTCCTTTTCTTTTGTAGAGCGGCCCAAATCCGAAAGGGTGGGGAGATCAGATGGGCTTTTGTGGCCCACATTATCATTTTGTCTTTTTAGATTGTTTTTTTTCGAATCAGTTCGATTTTATATTTACAAAGTTTACAAGTATAAAATTTTTATGTACAAAGTTTCTATATATAAAGTTTACGTGTATAAGCGTTATGTGTGTGTATGTATGTGTGTATATATAAATATGAAAAATATAAGTTAACACAAGTATACTAAAAATATTTAAAAAATAAAATATTTTAAATAAAAAGATTTGCATATTACCATAGTTAGTTTAATAATATATCTAGTAATATTATTGTTACATGATTGCTTGTTTTTAATTTTTTAGCTATTAATAATTAAAGTTAAAATTGCTTCACTTAGCATTATTTTGGAGGGAGTAGGATTATGTCACCAAGGTGTGATATTTGACCTAATTACAGGTTAACACTACTCCGTTTTACATACGTTCTGTTGTTTTCAAAACGCGATTTATCTAATACTCCTACATTTGGGATTTGGCCCACACGGGCACAACAGTGAGCCAGTGAGCGGTGCTAGTATAGCTAGGCATCCTATCGGAGCCATCGTAGCTAAACGATATATTTGCAAATAAAAATAAATTTATGAATAAAATTTTTATACACGTGTTTCTAGCTAGCGATTTAAAAGCAAATGCTGAAAAATAAACTTCGATTAAAAAAAAATCTTAAAATCAACTCTAAATTTAAAGTTAAAAATTTAAATTTTAACTGATAAATATAAGTATAAGGGAAAAGATAGTCACTATTAAAGTACTAGTGTAGGATTAGTGCTACGGAATGATGTGGATGCGTGGCCTAATGCCACTTTCGTTTAATCTAAAGTACGTGCGCTGTTGGGTGGTTGCCCCCCATCACCCCATCAGCGACCTTTCTTTTCGGTGTACTTGCTCTTCTCTGAACTTCATCAGTTCATCCATTGCTTCATCAACAACTATGGTTAATTAATTTCTCGAGAAATATTACCTGAATATATATTATTAACAATAATTCAAAAATTACAGCAACGAAATTATACTAGTACACTTCATATAGGAAATTAATGTGTTGCAATGGTATACATATGAACGTACGTAACTTTATTCTCTCACATAGAGTATGCATGAGCTACATGAACACAAAAAAAAAATTAACAGCTTGCGGATTAACGCGACCGATGAACTTAATTAATTACCATATTGCCACTAGCCGCTACTCAAATTTGTGACTCACACCTCGACGCTGCACCCTGTCGGCTGCGTGAACCTGAGCGACGCGACGGCGCCGGCGCCGGTGCCGTTCACGACGGCGGCGGAGGCGCCGCCGAGAGGCATGGGGCCGACGCCGCCTGGTCCGGCGGAGGCGAGCATGGCGGGGCAGCTGACAAAGAGGTGGTAGCTGCCGGAGACCCAGCTGCCGACCTTCCACTTGACGCGGCCGTCGACCTTCACCTGCAGCGCGACGTACCCGGCGGCGACGTCCTGCCTGAGCGCGTCGGCGACGAAGCCCGCCACGGGGACGGACTCGCCGGAGAGCACGGGCGACCAGATGGTGACGTCGCGGTGGCCCTGGTAGGTCGGCGGGAGGGAGACGGGCACCGTGACGGGTTCGTCGCGGTAGGTGACGAAGACGTCGAGGCGGCGGTAGTGGACGCCGACGTGGTCATTGGGGTTGCGGGAGGCGAGGGTGACCTGCGCGGTGGCGGAGAGGGAGGGGTCGCCGAGGTCGACGGAGCGGAGCTGGAGGTCCTGCAGGTAGAAGGACGGCTTGGAGGGGCGGAGCGCGAGGTAGACGACGAGCGCGATGAAGCCGACGACGAGGACCAGCGCCAGGATGCACGCCGCCATCCCGCCGCAGCATCGCCGGAGGTGGTGCTCCCGCTTGTGGTGCTTCTCCTTGCTCATGGCGGCGGCGACGGCGGCGGCGGCGGCGCGAGCTAGCTTAGCTACGAGTAGTAGAGTGAGAGAGTGAGCTGCGAGCTGTTGCTGAGTGAGAGAGAGAGAGAGAGAGGGGCGTTAGATATGAAAGCGAGTAAGAGAGTAATAATGGCTTTTAAGATTAGTGGAGCGAACGAATTGAATTTAAGTGTCCGTACTCAAAGAAAGAAAAGGGTTTTAAAATTTCGCCTTTGAAATTTGAGTAAAGTGCACGTGCAGTATTTAAACTTGTAGGGGTGTGTCATATAGGTCGCTAAACTCTCAAAATGCATATCTAAGTACCAGAACTTGTCATAGTGTGTCATCTAGGTCCCAAATCACCACAACCCCTTTAGAATCCTACGTGGCGTTGATGTGGCATGCCACACAGACATGACGTGTTTTGAGATAAGTTTTGGGACCTGGATACACTTTGACAAGTTTTGGTACCTAGATATGCATTTTGACAATTTTTGGGATCTATATGACACAACTGTACAAGTTTAAGGACTGTAAATGCATTTTACTCTTTAAATTTTGAAGGGAATTGAAGCTAGCTAGAGAGGCAGAGAGCTCTGGATCGAAAGCTACGTCTCAACCGAAGAAGATTCTTTCGATCGTTGTGCTTGGGGTTGTTCTTTATGCTATGCTATGCTAGGTAACCTCTTGTAGATGATCTGATGGGCCATCGGTTACTGGTTTGGGGGCGATTTCTGCATGATCGATCAATCTGCCTTTAGATTTGTGCCCCACTGCATGTGTGTTTCCTTTGCGCGCTTAGGATGGATCGAGGCTCGATCGTGTGCTAATTCGGTGCTTTTAAGTAAGTTTTACTCAAACTTGTTAATTTGGTCAACGTATAGGACGGCAATGGAATTATGCTATTGTTTCCAACTTTTTGGGTTGGTGATCTCAAGACATGCACGCACACCCACCACTTAATCTGAAAACTCAATAATTTTCAGCATGCATATGAAGAAAAATGAGATAACTAAAATTTTACGCATCTGTCATACACACACACACCCCATGCATCTAACTATAGTCTCACACTCTCACTGTGTGTGTACATATTATTTTTCGATAATGTAATTGGATCCAATTTCACTGCATATATGAAATTGTTGGAATACGAAGTACCCATTGTATCTTACTATTTTCACTGCATTCATTATTAATAGAGAAGAAAACAGTGAGATAACCTGTATTTGTACGGATTCAAACTCAGGATGACGCATTGCTCATGCATGGCATCCCCTACAAGCAGAACTAGCGATTGTTCATGGTAACACCCATTATTGATAGAGAAGAAAACGGTGATATAAGATGTGCATATATGAGGGCACGTATTGTGTCATACACCTATGGAATAATAATGACACGAGACCGCTTGACTATACTAGCTAGCAAGTTCACCGTACTTGGTTTTCATAAAAAAACTTTTGTTTTAGACAAGATCTGGTCAAGTTTTTTTTTGAAAAAAAATCAAATCCATTTTTAAAATTTGGACAGAAAAGCGAGCAATTTATATTCTCGAGCCAGTCAAAAAGTTCAATTTTAACTAAAAATTAATCCTGTCTTCGTAGGTGAACCAGGACGGCTCCCCCCTAACAGACTTCAGTACAGGCAGTCGTGGAGTTACCCACTCGGTCCGCTCGTGCAGTAGGAGTGCCTGTAAAAAAAATCATTTTTCAATAGTGCGTCCGGTTTTCGTCGGTTTTGTAAAGGAAAAAGTATGAATTACCCCCCGAACTATAACAGTCGATCGAATTACCCCTTGAACAACAAAACCGGACATTTTACACTACCGGACAAATTAACCCCCCCCCAAGCACTATTCTGAGTGGTTTTGGCTTAAGCTTGCACACGTGGCGGCAACGTTGCAATCCAGTCAGCAAATAAAAAATAAAAAAGCGTTCGGGCCCACCTATCATCCCCAAATCTCTCTCTCTCTCTCCATCTCTATCTCTCTCTCCCTCGGGCGACCGGCGGTTGACGGTGGAGGCGGACCTCGCTCCGCGCGGGGATGGGAAGCGGATGGCGGTGCGTGGGAGGCTGCGGCGTGGGTGCGCGAGGACGGGCGGTGGGCGGCAGCACGCGGAGGCGGGCGCGGCTGGGTGGGCGAGGTGAGGATGGCAAGGACGGGAGAGGCGAGCGCTGCTGGGACGGACGAGAAGAGTGCGGCGGGGACGGGCGAGGTGAGCGCGGCGGCGGGGAACATCTGCACTATATCGGTCGAAGACGATGAACTCCGATTTCTCTCTCGCAAGCGCTCAGGTGGCCGGCTGTGGCGGTGGAGGCGGAGTCGCCCAGGCGGTTGGTGGTGGCGGCGGAGGTGGACCGGACAGTGGGTGATGGTGGCGGAGGCGGACAGGGCGGCCGGTTACGGAGGCGTGGCTCGCCCGGGCAGAGAGAGGAAGAGGGGAAGGAGAGATATGACAGGTGGGTCCCACATCTATTATATTATTAAAGGAATAGAAAAAGGAGCCTCCACGTTCGCTCTCATGGCGTAGAAATTCGCACATTAATCGGAGAAAAAGAAAAAGTAGAGTCCATATAGAAATACTACAATTTAGAAATAGTTGAAATTCAGAATTAAAAATAAGGAATATTAGAATAAAATTAAATTTAGAGTATATGAATTTAAAACTAACTAAAATTTAAAATAAATATAATAAAATTAAAAGTAGAGTTTAGAGTCCGTATAAAAATACAATTTACAAATAACTAAAATTCGAAATTAAGAAAAACATGGGAAGAAGTCAATATAGTAATACAATTTAGAAGTAACTGAAATTCGAAATTAAAAATTAAAGAATATTGAAAGATGAGTTTAAAGTCCACACAGAAATACAATTAGAAATAATAAAAATTCAGAAATAAAAATAAATAATATTGGAAGAAGAGCATAGAGTCTATATAGAAATAATTCATAGAAAATTCAAAATTTTTTAAAAAATAAATATTAAAAGACGAGTCTAAAACCTATATAGGAATATATATAATTTACAAATAACTAAAATTTGATATTAAAAATAATTAATAACAAACACGTATATAAAATACAATACGGGTGTTATACATTAGTAGTTTTGTAAAGTTATTGCAAAATTTAAAATTATGTTGTCATTTTAATATATTTGAATAATATAATAAAAAAACATATTCTGCTATTATATGAGAGAAAATATAATGATACTAGCTGCGCAATCTGCGCGGGCCACCATGCTAGTTTTTTTTTAAAAAAATAAAACGCTGAGTGGTTTGCCACGCGTGCGCCACGTAGGATGAAACCACTCTAGATTGGGTTGAGGGGGATAATTTGTCCTGTATTGAAAGTTTGGGATGAGAAATGTCTGGTTTTCGGGTTTAGAAGGGTAATTCAATCGACCGCGATAGTTAGGGGGGTAATTCGTACTTTTTTTTTTCTTTTGTAAACCCCTGCTAGCCAGGGTGCCAAAGTATGTACAGTACTTGGAGGAAGGAGGTTGTTGGGAAGTACGTAGCAGGGGGCAGGCAGGGCAGGCACAGGAATGATCGCATGGACCGGGCGCGGCGGTTGTGATGTCGCCTCCGGCACAAAACGCCGCGGAAGCAGATGATCGATCGATATAGGCCAACCCAAGGGCATGATGCGCATGGCTACTGTACTCATGTGTAGGTGCATAATATCTTTCGATTCCCACCGACTCTCCGATCCAGGGGTGCACTACTGTGCCCTACGCACTGCCTACGGCCAGATCCCATCAAAATTGCAAGCCAGATGCAGCTAGCAGAGAGTCTGAGTACTGTGCACATACAAGTGCACATGCCTAACCGTGACTTTGTAGCTTTCCTTCTTCTCTATGTGTGTAAAGATATACTCCAGTTTAGTACAAAGTAGTACGTAGTATATGTTAATTTCTGGTATATATACACGTATAACTAACTCGAATCTTAGATGCATCATGTGGTACTACGTACGTGCACCGTCTTTCATTTCTGTAGAACGAGTTAACGGTTCATTAATTTTGATTTGGATAAGCCTGCTGGATAAGTTTTAAAGTATACTTCATCCGTCCCAAAATATAAGTATTTTTAGCATAATAAAAAATCAAACATTTTCAACTTTGACTATTAATAACAAGAAAAATAAAAAAGAGTAGTCATGTAAAATTGATGTTAGTAGATTTATTACTAAACAAACTATCATAATATTCATAATATTCATAATATGTAACTCTTTTTATTTAAAATATCTTCATTTTAGTACGGATGGAGCTAGCTAGCCAAACCCGTCCCTGGAGTAATTCCCTGTCCTCACCTGCACGGTCTTCATCTCCCTTTTTTCCTCCTTTTTCTACGAGGTGATGAGACATGTTACTTTGCATATCTCTCACCATCCTCATCGATCTTCCACAGTTCACGTTGCCGTGCTACTTCTGATTCCAACCAACTAGGCATGCATGTTGTTACATTACACCCACCAAGGCACCAATTACCATCACTTGCAAGTAGTAGTTGCAAATCCCTCTATGGCTTTGGTAGCTAGCCATATAGTATGTGTGCATGCATCACACTCTTGGTCGCCCTGCAGGCCACTCTCTGCATAATGAGCTCTATGACAAGAACAACTAATGTCCGGGGAGGAGGCCATTGCGATTCAACAAATTTACAAAGTGACTACAACTTTTATTTTATATAGAAAAAAAATCCTACTTTATTTGTAATTGTATGCCACTGATGTATGTCACTTGGATTTGTAGCACTGAGACGATGTCACTAGCCAGCTGGGCTTACCATAGAGCTTTCATATATCAACATGCTAATTATAATTATATAGCTTGATTATGCTAGCTTCTTATATATAGAATTTTAAATGTAACGGTGCAAAAGCACTTACAAATTCAACGGTCTTATAAGAAAAAGGAAACACATACGACCCAAATGACGTACTCTTGGACATGCATATGTCACCTACCGATACAGTTTCGTTTTTTAATTTTAAGTTTCGTCCTTTGGTTCATGACCAAACCTATCGTCGGCACCAGCTGCTAATATAAGCGTGATGAATCATTCGACCTACCAAATGAGCATTTAGTACGTGCCCATTTCCAATATGATCTTTTCCTCCGTATACGTAAGTGCTGCAATTAAACAGATCAACTGGCACATCCAGTGTTATTTGGTCCAGTGGCGACGAAAAGTTTGATCTCAAGATTACAGATTAATTTACAGAGTCTGATCGAATACACACAAATATATACTACAGTACTACATGACTTGTTGATTCATTCATGTGCACATATATAATGCTGATCAAACTTAACCAGCAAAATGTTCTAAATCGTACTCACTGATTCTATGTACGTACATGCATGATTAATCACGTCTGTTGCACCAAACAGTTTACTTAATATACTAGTACAAGTACTTGAAGTTATATATGAGATTGTGGTATATATATATATTACTCTCTCGGATCCACTGACTACGAAAAAACGGTGTCCAGGCTAACTATCGGTTGTTAATTAATTTGTGTGAAATTAACAACCCAGTGGCGGAGTCAAGAATTTTACCCTGTGGGGTACCATTGCTTCATAATTTAGTGGGATCATTTACATAAATTTTAGTGAATTTACATGTATAAATCAAGAGTTACAATGGTGTATTGGTGTTTGTGAAAAAGCTGTGGGAACAAGCGATCCCACAGCCTCATACATAGCTCCGAATAATTAATTAACACCTGGAAATGGTATAACTAGTTTTTGTGTGGAGAAACACTAACCTGAATTTATATTAATTAGTACCTATTTAGGATTCATTACAGTATTCACTTCGATAGTAAATATCGTATGTATAAGATTCAGTCAAACTTTTAAAATCATTATTATAATATTGTGACATTACTTCTTAATCCAAATTTACGCGTACCTTTTTTTTAAAGGAATTATCAAGTATTTAGTAAATAACATATAGAGTTTTAGAGGTTTGACGAAATCTCTGTCTTACTCATATGATCAGGTATAGCATAACATAGTACTAGTATCAAAGTCGCACATGCCATCTGGTTGGTTGGCTTTGAAAAGTAAAAAAGGAAAAATATACTATGTAGTTTCATAATTGTGTTATGTGGAGAGGCCAAAATAGAGCATCTTAGTTAGTGACTAAATTATGTACCTGCTTTGTAACAATATATAACGATTAGGTTTTCTATCCATTCAAAAGTTCCTAGAGTTGTTAAATTTAAATTTAAAATTATGGGCCCATCAGATCCGTTAAATACCTTATTAGCTGTTACATTCCTGACAATTGCACAGATTAATTCATTAAAATTTGCAAACACCATTACTTCATAATTTAGTGGGATCATTTTCATAAATTTTAATGAATTTACATGTAAAAACCCAGAGTTACAATGGTGTGCTATGTGGATCGGGGTAGTAGTAGTAGGGGGAAGTCGACCATTGCACAAATTAACTGGGCCCATCTTATGCCCACAAAACGCAGCACAAGATGGCCCAAGTTCATCGCATTGTCGATTTGATCATTCCGCAGATTTAGGCCGTGTATAGTTCTTTTCAAATTATTTTTTGAAGTATAGGGACACATTTGAAGTATTAAATATAGACTAATAATAAAACAAATTATATATTTCGCCTGTAAACTGCAAACGAATCTATTAAGCCTAACTAATCTGTCATTAGCAAATGTTTACTGTAGCACCACATTGTCAAATCATGGTGTAATTAGACTCAAGAGATTCGTCTCGTAATTTACATGCAAACTGTGCGATTGTTTTTTTCGTTCATATTTAATGTTTTATGCACGTGTCCAAACATTTAATGTGACGGAAAAGTTAGAAGTTTGAAAAGAACTAATGCTAAAACAAAAAGGAAATGATTTTTTTTTTTTTGCAGGGGGGGGGGTGGGTTGGGGGTGTGCTGACCTTCTAATAACTAATTACAAAAACTAGTAAAAGAATAGAATAGAATATGCCGTGCAAAGGTACAATTTTAGCGCCAAAAGCGACCAAAACAAGGATAATCGGAGGATCATGGCCAGCAAGCATTGCAGCTTCAACTGCAGAGAAAATAACACCAAAGCACAAGCTGCAAACTCTGACGCTAAACACAGCAATTTAAGCAATGCAAAGATTGCTTCATCTCATATGTGTTCGATGGAAGTCATTGCAGAATTCTACAAAAAAGATAAAACTTGCATGATAACCTCAGCAAATCTTCCGCGATAACGACTGATGTTCTCTCAACTCTCTCCCTCTCTTAATCTCCCTCTCCTAAAAGATGGACCCATAATAATAAACCTATGGTTGGTCAGGTTAGTGAACTGTTAACCACAAACTAATGATATTGCAAGCAATTCTGTCACAGGTGAAGATCAGTGCAGGCAATGTTGGTTGTTGCTGTCAAATTTTCACATGCCGTAGCCGCCTCTAGGAGGAACAACAGCGCCGCCGTTCAAGCTGAGCTTTGACATGTCGAGCATCTGCCAGTTGATCGCAGATGGGTCTCCTCCTCCAAATGAGTTGGCCTCAAAGCAAGAGGTGACGCTCCTGCTCCTGCGGTGGCGCACTGAGAGCTGCTTCAGCCTCTCGGTTTCCTTCTTCAGCATCTGCGTTTGGCCTGCGAAATTCCGTCGAAAACCATTCATTGCGATGCACGAGATGATAACATGATTTTAACGCGATTTAACATATAGTTCAAGCAAGGCATAAAAGTTGGCATTGTCACTTTCATTTACAAATGTTAGGACAGCCAAACATGGAAGATCAAACCTACGGCATGAATGGTGCAAACTAATGCTTTCGCAACTATTGACACAACTGAAAGCTTTTGAAGTTAAGATATCAAACTGACACGAGCTTCTAGATATTTATGAATACAAATCCAAATTTTATTCTGTGTTGATTGTATCATAATGATTTAATTGGTATCCGAACTGAAACATGCTGATCATCAAACAGTACATCCAACAAAAATCCAGCTGGATAGAAGGTTACAAGGCTTGCCCCTGCCCTAACAATTTGGTAAGTGTATTAGGCCACCAAACAACTTAGAAGCAACAATAGAAGACCTCCAGAATCAAACATAGTAAAGCACGGAAATACAAAATCTGGTGGCCATTGTAACATTTATTGTCAAACTAGCATTGCATGAAGCTGGATGCATAAGAATTGCCTTCATGGCAGGATGAGCTATATCTACGATTCATTCTGTATGATTCAGGTTTTTTTTTCTGTGACACATACGAACCTTGTGCACATAGCTTGGCTAGCTATATCTACGAAACAGTAACAATCCTTCAAATAACCCGCATTCAACATCTGAGCATAGCTTGCATGACAGCAAAAGCGTGAAACATTATATAGACCAACAAAAAATAGTCACATCATCTCTGCTACAGACTGAATTCACCTGTCATCTTATTGAACAGAACTACAATTTATAACCAAATGATAGGTGTTGTTTCTGAATTGTACTTAGGTATTGATTAAAGAGCACGCAAAATCTATGTAACTAAACAAGGATGCATACTCGAAAAGGTTTAATTTGTGCTGGCAATTTATGAAAGGGCAAACAGATTGACATACCATCCTTAATTAGTTTTGCCTGCTGAAGACTAGTGATCTGCCTCCTCAGTTGCTTGTTTTCCATTGATAGAGCATTACGAAGCTGGAAAAGAGATGCCACCCTCACAGCCAAATCAGCCCCTATGTTCTGAAAATCAGAAAATAAATTTATGCCATTAAGAGCAGGTACAATAGCAAGCTATAAACCGGCTGTAACCATATATTGAGAAGAAAAGAGAAGAGAGAGAAGAAAGCGGGCTACAGATTTGTAGCCGGCTGCAACACGGACTCCAAGATGTTATGTGTGTATGAGAGGTGGGACCGTGTATTAATGGTGTAGTATATTTTTATAGTTAACTATTGTATGAATGAGCTATTAGATTGGCTATAGATGTTTTGGAGCCAGTAGTTGGCTATACTATTGACCTTGCTCTAAAGAGTTAAGCACTACTTAATCCAAAATGGAGTAATAATAAGGATTAACAGCACTACCTGAAGTGAGTCAACAGTTCTCTCAAGATCAGCAATGTATTGAAGTTTTCTGACCCTTGATCTTTGGCCTGAGCGCCTGCACAGATGTTAACATGTCATCTCGATATTCAGACACATTCTATTGTTCTTAATATCTAGAGCAGAATTTTCAACAGTTGACGAAATTCAGTTTCATGTATGAAATATGACAATAGTACATGAAAAGAATCTACAGAGATAAGATGGTCTTGACTTGGTAGCATCATGCTTCATAGAGTTAAAAACTTAGTAATGGATTTTCATCAGCAGAAGTGTGGGCATCAAGATGGTCATACTATCAGCTCCTCAACCACATATATTATCTAAGATCTGTCAGTGTTCCAACAGATACAATGGGATGCCCTTGGTAACAGGATTCTTGCATAATTCACTTGTCACAGTTAAAAAGCCTTAGTGCGAGAAATAGATCCTTTTTTTATTCTGAGAACTAGAACCCAATTGATAATCTTTGAAGAATACATATATCACAGTCCTGATTTCCAGATTTTCTGCAGTGCTGTTTCGATTTCATGACTGCAAGTTCAATGAAAGTTGTCACATCATTAACACAAGGGCACTCTTTTAAATGAATTTCTTGTCAGCGTCAATAGCTGACACCGTTATCTTTACTAAGCTCAACTAGTGCCACTAAACAAATAAACTGTGAACCAATACCAGACCAAATTTCTTTAACTTTCTGAAACTTAAAAGACAAACGAAATGAACCACCATATATGAAAAATTTGTGAGAAATGGTCCAAAAAGAATCCTAAAATAGATCTTTCAAAATCCAGTGCCCGCTTAAATATGAGTGTTCAATGAGCCCAAAGTAGAGAATTTTGGTCATGCTCCAAATTGAATATTTGTGTAAATAAATATTATACCAACAAGTTCACATAAAATTAAAGGGCATGGCTAGTCACGTCATATGCCAAATGCCTCCTCCCTGATGCTCATCACCGACCGCTACTCCTCTCATCCCAATGTCCCTCAAAACCTCCACCCCATGCTCCTTCCAGTAACAGCCCACCATCCAGCCTCACTCACGACTTCAGGTATAGGTGTCAAGCTCTCATCCCCATTTCTTTGCTTCACCTCCTGCAGTACAGCACCACCCTCACCATCCTCCCACTGCCTCTTAGCCCCACCCAACCTAACTCCATGAGATTCCCTTCGTGCCACTTTCTTCCTGATGTTCAGTGGCTAAGTTCTCCACTCTCCACATCCTGCCCAATAACTGCTTCACTGTCATTGTCACTTCTTGTGACCAGCAGCACCTCACTGCCTCGCCCTCACTCTCCTCCCATGGCCCCCTAACCACACCCAACCTAACTCCAGCGAGCTTTGTCCGCAACACTACCCATCTTCCTCATATCCGGGTGGCAATAGCCACCAATTGCTCCCCCCCCCCCTTTTACTCCAGAATGACAGGGAGCTCCCCCACCCCCCACCCACATTGAACTTAACAAGGCCACAGGAGGCAGAGGTTGCATATACCCAATGTGCTATAGACTAAGCCAAAAATATCTTATATCTGGAGTTGTTACTGCTGAATAGCTGATGATAGAAACCTTAAATTGTTAGTGGCAAAGACAAAAGGCAAACAGAAGTCACTAAGATTAGCGTTCAAGCTTAACCCTCCACTGCAGAATGCTATAATATATCAGATATACTGGTACATCGCGTCAGCATTTGCCAAAACAGCCAACTGTACTGATTCTCTTTGATATAATACTACCTAGCAATACATTCTTTTCACCTGGACTCCCACTTATATATATGAAATAGTGAGAGCATATTACATTGGTTACTGTTGAATTTTGATTTCAGGGAATTGATTTGAAAAGACTTGGAATCACAAACGCTATGAACAATGCACGGCAGAGAATCATAAATATAAAGCGGTGTACCTTTTAAGTGACTTCTCTTGATCAGCGTGGCATACAGCATCACCTGTGTCTCCAGTTCCATTGGCTGCACCAACATTACAGTTCACACCACTTGTGGCATCAATCATCAGGTACTGCAATGGGTTGCTAGGGACATTCTCCAAGACAGCGTTAACCATGGAACTCTCTGAACTGGTCAGCCTAGTCTTCTGTCTCGGCGAATTTGGTCCATAAACACAGCTACCTTCGATGCCAGCACCACTTCCACCCCCTTCAGCCGCAGCATTGAACGACTCCCCAGCTTCGCCAACCGGCTGCGGATCCCCTTCATCGATAGGGTAGATTGGGCTCTGGAACGACGTCAGCACATCCAAGATAGCATCAGAATCGCTGCAGGCTCTCCTGAGAGGAGGAAGGGTGTGGCTCTTCCCGGAGTCCGCGAGGAGATCATCGAGCCAGCACGGCGGCTCACCGACGAATGGATCCTCCGACGGAAACCTGCAGCTCTGCGTGAACAAGCTGTCGTCCCTCCTTGTGATCTGAGGACCCAGCGGCGGGCAGCGGGGAGGGAGGTGCGGCGACCGAGACATGGCGAGAGAACACGCTCCCGACGTCTGTTCACCTCTCTTGTGCTACTTAACTACAGCCCCTCCAACATCATCTCCTTTATCCCGTTCATCTGCAAAAACCAGAAACACATATAGCACATAAAACATGTGACAAGAAACACCAAAAACATCCAGCAAGTACTAGAAATCAAGGCCCCCTTGTAAACTACATTGCCGCAGAAACATTTCCTGTTGCAAAATAATAAAAGGATCGATCTTCTGTGGGATCAGAACCCAGTAAGTGAGGACAAACATCAAAAGGGTGCAACATGTAAAACAATTGCAAATTAATCTTGAAGCGCAAACTACAGAAGCAAGTGCAGAGGAGGAAGACCTAATGTGTGGAGGTGGTAATGGGGGGTTCGGATGTACACCCAAAAAAAAAAAAACCTTTTTGGTTGGAAACACGAGCATCTATCAGTTAAAGGACATGAAAGAAATCCCAGAAGAGAACCGAGGCTCGGTTAATTGCAGGGAAAGCAAAGGAAAACCAATCCCCCAAGTCCTCCGGATGGACTCCCAAAACCCACACCACGCCCGGATCATCGAGCCGCGCGGCGCCGCGCCAAGGAGAAAAGAGAGAACCTTCGATTCGATTCGGTTCGGTTCGAACCGAGGCGGCGGCGTCAGGTAGGTGGCGGTGGAAGGAGGCCGGCGCCGCGTCGCGTGCTCGTCTGCCCCTGCTCGCCGGCAGCGAACGCGCGTGGAGGAGGAGAGGAGGACGTCCGGCCGCTCGCACCGTGCCTGCTGTCGCCGGCGGCGGCGAGTGGGAGGGGATTCGGGCGGCGGCGCAGGGTGGCGGAGGAGGAGGAGGAGGGAGAGGAGGGGTTCTAGTAGTTTAGGAGGAGGAGGAATTATATTACTCCTAGGAAGGAAAGAAAAAGAAGAAGAAAAAATGATTTTATGTCCCAAAAAGACGGGGCTAGTACGCGGGATGGGCCAGGCCCAGCAACCACGCCCCATGCGTGTTTACTCCTCCCCATTTTTGGCAACCAAATATCTCTCGCCTCGCTTTTTGGGCAGAAAGAGAGATGTAAAAATAATACAGTAATAATACTGTAAGAGAAAAATATCTTGTCTTGATTTCTCTTAGTAGTTATTACCAGCCGAGGTAAGATTAAATTCACGTCAGGTTCGCAGAAAACACCACGAAATTACCGTGTTTGATGAACACGGCTGTGTTCGGGAGGCAATGTTCCCAACGTTTATCTCCTGACATGAAAAACAAAGCTAGGTTAATTGAGTATTGGCCTTAAAAAACTTAAAAAATAGTTAATATAATTTTCTTTTGAAAAACTTTCCTATAGAATACTTTTACAAAATACGTATTGTTTAGCGGTTTGAAAAACGTGCGTGTGGAAAACGAATGAGATGAGCTGAGAAATAAAGGGGAAGAACACACGGGTTATACAAAGGTTCACAATTTTGATATCTGATCAAAATCTGCTCACAATCAGGTATTACCGGTTTTATAGAATCCGTTGACAAAAAAACCGATAAAATATGACTAAACTTTGTTAAAATTTTAAATTTTATCTTCATTTTGTTTGAACTTGATCGAAAAACCAAGTTGTTTTGTGTTTTTGACCCGGTCCGGAAATTCGGATTCCACTGAATTATGAACCCTGATTGCAATCGAATTTGGAGCGGAGTTTTACTTAAAAAAAAAATGACGCGCAGAGTGGATGCGACGCAAAGCTTCTAGAAGTTTCCGTTTGCTGCACTCCTCAGCTTGATCACTGCTCACTCACACACATGCCATCCGGCCTTCGAAGTTCGAAGTTTTGGAGTCCTCTCGAGTGCACTGCACACAAGGTAAGCTATGCTCAAGGTTCACCTTTTCGATTCAGCCTTAACTGTACGATGGTTTCTGAAAAATTTCAATACAAATTTTGGTCAAGTCTACTGTTTGAAACTTGAATACTCGAAAATCGTTCGAAATAGTATTTAGGAATCTGCTTTCGTCCCGCGTGGAAAAGCACACCGAGTGGGCCTCGAAATGCTTTCCGCTGATTCCAGTTCACTGTATTTTTAACTGAACTTTAGGAGCTTTTTAACAGCTCTACGCCTACGATCTACGAGCTTAATTGGCACTGGATTATTGCCAAGATGCTGCTAGCTGACAGCCCGATTCGTAATTTAACTCCAAATGGTTGAGCGGATCGACGACGACGCTGATGGTGGAGTAAAGAAAAGAAAGGGAGGCGATATGTCCGTTGGATTCCGGGCAGGGCAGACTTGTTCAGTTGCTGCTACTGCAGGCTATTCCAGACTTGTGTTCTGTGTGTGCCAACTGCCAACGTGGGTGCACATTGGTCTTTGTATTTACTTGGAATCTTCCATCACTCAGGGCTGTTCAAATCAATACCAAAATTAACCTTTTCAAAATTTGACAATACCAAAAATAAATTTGGTATGTTGGTAGCATTAAAGTTTTGATAGGATAGCTTAATGTGATGGATCTAGGGGAAAAAAACAAAGATGATGGAGGGACGGAGCCAGGAATTGGAGCTACCAAGGTCATATCGTAGCTACATTGTACTATACTATCTATACTATACCAAGGTCATAACGATGTTTTCATGAGCCTAGCGGCCCCAATATTTTGCTTATTCAGGAAATAAGCCAAATGACATATTTGCAAGCGAAAAATAAAATTTATGAATAAAACTTTTATATATGTGTTTTTAATGATCTAAAAGCAAATGCTGAAAAATAAGCTTCGACAGGCCCGGCTCTGGGGCAGGGCAAAGAGGGCGACGCCTAGGACCCGTTTTGGCTAGGGGCCCATGCCTAAATGAGTACTGTATGAGCCAAAGTGGTATTTAATATTAGTGAATAATTCCATACTATCTACTACTCCTGGTTATCTACATAATTCTGATTAGTGAATTAATAAAGATTCCAGATTCAACAATCAAAATTGTATGTATAGATAGATTCTTGTTCATAATATATATTTCCTTAATAATTTTAGGTGCTGAAAAGCTGTAATTTTACTCAAGATGCATTTTTATGGTGCTAAGTAAATGGGAAAAATAAACAAAATCAGTTTAAGTGTTGATATTTTTCTATTTCTTTGAACATATATATATGAAATATTTTCAATGTTCATTTTTCTCTATGATTAGATTTGAAAACACACTTTAAAATTAAAGGGGTTGTTCAGATTGTAGCCAAAATAAATCTAACCAAATTTTTGCAATGCTAAAATTTTGACAATCTAGCAATATTGCCAAGTTTTAGTAGGATTTCTTACGTATTTACTAAAGTTTGGTAATTAACTAAATAAATGCACATCATTGACAATTTTGATATGGTTTGAAATGTCATTAATCTAAACAACCAAAAAGCGTGAATATACATATAACACGTCTCTCTGTAGGGGAGAGAGGGTTAAGGGTCATGTTATCAAGTTTGCCCTAGGGCCCTCAAAATTGTAGAGCCGGCCTTGAACTTCGATAAAAAAAAACCAAAATCATCTATAGATTTAAGGTTTAAAATTTAAATTTTAGCTAATAAACATAAGAATAAACGAAAAGATTAGGCTATAAATGAGACACTTCACTTTCTACTGTCAGATTATGGTTTTCCTCCTTGTGATTTAACAATACTAACATTGAAAACATATTGAGAGAGATCACTAATAAATCATACTAGTATCTTACTATACTATCTACTCCACTAGTAAGAAAAGTTATTCTTATGCAAACTTTAAAGCACATAGAACTGCTTTGAGTTTTTTACACCACTATACGGTGCTACGATATAAACCTAATGAAAAAGTAATGTTGCTAACAATCCTTTTCTCTAGCTACATTTCTACTAATTATTTAACTGATAACAAAACGCAAATCAGCCGAGTGAAAGTAGGTTGATTCTACCAAATTATTGGCAAACAAAACTATAAGAAATAAGTTGAGTAACCAAAGAAAACTGGGTTTGTGTAGACGTGATCCTAGCTAATGCGTGAAACAATATTGCAGCTTTCCCAAGACAATCTATTTTTTTTACGCTACAATAAATCGTTACTTCCTTCGTCCCAAAATATTAACATTTAGGAAAATTTGCCATAGGACACCCAAATTTCGTGTAATTAGCTAGGAGACATCATAAAATCGCGTCGTTGCTGATGGACACCATAAAATTCGTAAAATTTGCTATAGGACACCAGAGACAATATTTTATTATTTCCGAGCAAAAACAGGAGAGAGAAATTTTAAAAAGACAAAATTGCCCTCAGCCCTATCTAACCCCACTAGAGTCACACTTTTGCCCCTCACGCCCCCCAGCCGCCCCGTCCACACCCCTAACCCGGCGCAGAGAGGCCTGGTGCTGATTTCGATGACTACTGGTGAGCCCCGGGGTAGCGGCTTCGGCAGTGGTTGGCGAGCTTGGCGATGGCTTCGATGATGGTCGACGAGCCCGGCAACAACGGCTTCAACGACAATGGTGGCGGCGGAGGCCACGGCTTCGACGATGGCCGACGGCAGCGGCGGGTTCGACTGCGGTTAGTGAGCAGCGCTAGGAAGCGCGTGGCGACGACGGCTTTGATGACAGTCAACGAGCCCGGTGGCAGTGGATTCGACAGTGGCGGTGATGGCGGAGGCAACAGCGCTGGGAAGCGGGCGGTGGCGGCGGTGGCTTCAATGATGGTCGGCAAGCCCGACGACAACAATTTCGACGGTGGCAGTGATAGCGGAGGCAGCAGCAAGCGGCGTTGGGAAATGGGCGGCGGTGACAACTTCGATGACGGTCAAAAAGCCCGGCGGCGGTTGGCGAGCAGAGCTGGGAAACAACTGCGACAATGGGGAATAGATAGGGCTAAGGGCGATTTTGTCTTTTTGATATTTCTCTCTCCTCTTTTTGATAAGAAATGATAAAATATTATCTCGGGTGTCCTACAACAAATTACACAAAATTTATGGTGTCCATCAGCAGCGACGTGATTTTTCAATGTCTCCTAGCCAATTACACAATTTTTAAGTGTCCTAGGGCAAATTTTGCCAACATTGTTTAGGTTGGCAAGTGTATTAAGAAAGCACTACGTGAAAATGATTGGAGAAAGTATATGCTTGATTGAAAAGAAAAAATATGTGAAGGATAGTTATTGTGATTGGTTGAGAAGAGGAGGTATGCAGAGAAATAACTTTATTTTTATGACAATATACATACTGTGATAGAAATAGTTATATTTGGGACGTACTCCGTAGTTTTCTGGGTTAGCGAGCCTGTACCGATAGGGTCATTGATTTAAAAACAGAGAGTAAAACATTGATTTGGTTAAATGTCTCGGTGTCATCTAACCCTATGGGAGTATTGTAGCTCCGCCCTTGGACGCAGTAAAAATTCCCCTGATCTCAACTTCCCAATTAACACCGGTAATGGGGACTTGACACTTGAGCATTGAGCTCCTATTGCCCTCATAGCAGATCCGTTAATGTCACCAAGGTTACGGTTATCACCAAGGGCCGAGTTTAGTTTTAAATTTTTTCTTCAAACTTCTAACTTTTTCTTCACATCAAAACTTTCCTACACACACAAAAATCTATCTTTTCCGTCACATTGTTCCAATTTCAATCAAACTCTCAATTTTGACGTAAACTAAACACGCTCAAGATGAAGTAACCATAGAATCTAACCTAGTACCAAAGTCAAAACCAACAGAAATCTAATTTGGACAATTTGTTCGGTTTTTCCATCGTCAACACATGGTTGCGAAGCGGCACGAAACTTCGAAGCTACTGGGAAGAAATTCGGAACGGCACGAAACTCTTTTTTGTTCTTTTCGCATGAAACAAAAAAAAAAAAAGAGAAGCCAATCTGATGGACGAGAGATGAAGCAAACCTCAGCCGTCCATTTGTCTCCCACACACAAAAGCATATTCTGATATTCCCATCCACGTCAGCATTTCCCCACCCCAAACACGCGATCCCCATTGGCCCCCCGCGAATCCAAACCTCGCCGCTCCAAACACTGACACCCCCGGCCCCACCTGCCAGCCTCCCCACCAACCGCCACGTCAGCGTGCTTCACGCGTGACGTCACGTCGTCGTCTTCTCCGTCTCCTCTCCTCTTCTTCCTCTCGCCATCTCACTCGACTCGCCCAAGAACTCGGAGGTGTTCGACGCGGTCGCCGCCGCAGCAGCAGCGAGCCATGGAGGCGAGGGCGTCGCCGTCTCCGTCGCCGCAGCGGCCTGCGTCGATGGGTAGAGGCGGCGGAGGAGGCGGAGGAGGAGGGGACGCGAGCGCGGCGCTGTCGTTCATCTACAAGGGGTGGAGGGAGGTGCGGGACTCGGCGAGCGCGGACCTGCGGCTGATGCGTGCGCGGGCGGACTCGCTGCGCACGCTCGCCGACCGGGAGCTGGAGCACCTCCTGGTGTCGGCGTCCACCACGGTGGCGGCGCCCGCGCCGCCCGTCGCGGCGGGGGCGCCCATCGCGGAGGTGGAGTTCGTGCGCAACCGGATCCAGCCCAAGATCTCCGAGCTGCGGCGCCAGTACGCGGCGTCCGGGGACTGGGAGCTCGGCCTCGGCAGGAGGGTGCTCGAGGGCTGGGTGGCGCCTCCGCCGCCCAGGGGCGCCACCACCGCCCGCGTCGACCTCTCCGGGATCACCGCCATACGCAACGCCCTCGTCCCTGAGGTCGCCGGCGGCGGCGGGGCGAGCACCGCCTGGTGGAGCGGGGATGAGATGGAGGAGGAGGAGGAGAAGGAGTGGGAGGTGGTGAGGATGATTCGCGGCGGCCTCAAGGAATTGGAGCGCCGCAGCCAGAGCAGCGGCGAGATCTTGGGGGGAATCCCTGGCCCCAGCGAGCTCGTCGAGAAATTCAAGTCCAGACTGGTAATTTCCGCCCTAAACCTAATTGTTTCTCTTATGCAAGTTCTTTGTATGAAAAAAAAAAACAAGAATTCGAGACTTGGTACTTGCATGACCTGTATACAAAGCAATAACAGTAGAACAATCTGTTAATGAGTGGTGATTGCTAAAAGGGACTTGCTCGCATTGCGAGCTCACTCTCATGCCAATCTCAGATGCTGGCCGAATGTAAAAATTAATTTTAAAATGTAAGGAAAAATTATAGCTACAAACCCTAGTAAGAAAATGTAGGCAATAATTTATGATTGCTATCTTCATTTTTAGTTCATTCTTACAAAAGTATAAGCATGATTTTTAGTTCTTTGTGTGCCAATGTATATGATTCCTAACTTGATTACTATATATCTTGATTGAATGATTATGTCATTTGGTTCATCCAATTAGAAAAAAAAAGGTGGTGTTGTCACAAGTGTTTGTTTTAAGAGCAAAAGGTGCTATCTGGCTTAATCACATTCTCACCTATATTTGTTCCCTTGGTGCAGAAATCATTTAACATGGAGCCTCTTGGATCCAAGGTAACTCCACAAACCATAAAATTAATATGACTATAACTATACTGTTTACTGATAGAACATTCATTTACCATCTGAAGACATCCCTTTGCATTATATGATTACATTATTTCAAAACAATTCTGGGGAAATCAACGTTCAGTAAATTTTTTCCCTCTATGATATGATGAACTGCAGCAATCTGGTGTCAAGGAATCCTCTGCCTTCAAAGGCACCATGCCTTTGTCACTGATAGGTGGGCCCATGGTTCATCGGGCCCACATGTCAGTGACATAGGCACATACCTTTGAAGGTAGAGGAGCCTGATCCGTCAAGGAACATGCCATGAGAAGGGAACTAGACTTTAAATCTGTATAGACACTGTTAGATGATAAATGGATTTTCATCCAGTGCCTCATTTCTCCTGAAAAGTGCCTAGTCTTAAACTCTTTAGTTATATACTGCTTAGTTATGCCTTAATATGGAATGATAGTGTGAATAAGTAGGATGTTTCATAAAAGAAAGCAACCAACAGTCCTATCAAAAGACACTCTATAGCCAAATTTTTGTTCTGAACTTTTGATGCTTGGTTAACATCATTGCATGTATAATCTTTGAGCATAATAATGCAGGAAGTTCCTCCTCTTGATCTGACTGAAATTATGGCAAATCTAGTTAGGCAATCTGGGCCCTTTTTGGATCAACTTGGTCTAAGGAGAGGTATGCATAAAAAGCAACACTGTTGTATTTCATTCCATTTATTAGGTGATGGCCCTCTTATATGCTATTGGTACTATGGTGCAGAACTACGTGACAAACTAGTGGAGACATTGTATAGCAGACAAAATCATTCCCTTTCAGCAGATTCATCCTTACTCGGAGATGATAACTCAACGGATGAGCTTGATTTAAGAATTGCTAGTGTGCTACAAAGTACTGGTTATCATACAGATGATGGTTTATGGAACGAACCTTCAAAATACGAGGTTTCAGACAATAAAAGGCATGTTGCAATAGTCACCACAGCAAGCCTACCATGGATGACAGGAACAGCAGTTAATCCATTGTTCCGGGCAGCATATTTGGCAAGAAACTCAAAACAGGATGTCACACTGGTGGTGCCTTGGCTTTGCAAGTCAGATCAAGAACTTGTGTATCCAAATAGCATGACCTTCAGTTCACCAGAAGAGCAGGAAACATATATAAAGAAGTGGCTGGAGGAAAGGCTTGGGTTTGAATCAAACTTCAAGATATCATTTTATCCTGGCAAGGTAACTATCATACATTTTTTTGTCAAGGTGCATATCTTGAATAACTCAACTGATATGCTGTATGCCGTACCCTGCAGTTCTCCAAAGAGCGCCGTAGCATCATTCCTGCTGGGGATACATCACAGTTCATTTCATCGAGAGAAGCTGATATAGCAATATTGGAAGAACCAGAGCATCTGAACTGGTATCATCATGGGAATCGTTGGACTGACAAGTTCAATCATGTAGTTGGCGTAGTTCATACGAATTACCTAGAATATATCAAGAGAGAGAAGAATGGTGCTCTTCAAGCTTTCCTGGTCAAACACATCAACAATTGGGTGACCAGAGCATACTGCGATAAGGTGCTGTATCTAGCTCAACTTGTTCTGGTATCATCTGGATGCACTTCAGTTTCAGTATTGCTAATGAATGGCTTATGCAGGTTTTACGTCTGTCTGCAGCAACTCAGGATCTTCCTAAGTCTATTATTTGCAACGTCCATGGTGTAAATCCAAAGTTCCTTAAGATTGGAGATAAAATAATGGCCGATAGGGAGAATGGGCAGCAATCATTTTCCAAGGGAGCATATTTTCTGGGCAAAATGGTATGGGCCAAAGGTTACCGGGAACTGTTAGATTTGTTGGATAAACGTAAAAGCGACTTGCAAGGATTCAAGTTGGATGTATATGGAAGTGGCGAGGACTCACAAGAAGTCCAATCTACCGCCAAGAAACTGAACCTGAATCTAAACTTTTTTAAGGGAAGGGACCATGCAGATGACTCACTCCATGGGTATGTATCACTCAAGAAAAACAGTGTGCTCTCAGGTTCCATATCATTTCATCATCTGTGTTTACCTTTTGGTGATCACTGATCCAGCTGCCTTTCTTTTGTGCTACTTTCAGGTACAAGGTATTCATCAACCCGAGCATCAGTGATGTCCTGTGCACAGCAACAGCGGAAGCTCTCGCGATGGGGAAGTTCGTCATCTGCGCGGAGCATCCATCGAACGAGTTCTTCATGTCGTTCCCGAACTGCCTGACGTACAGGACCCCGGAGGAGTTCGTCGCCAGGGTGAACGAGGCCATGGCCAGGGAACCCCAGCCTCTCACCCCGGAGCAAAGGTACAACCTGTCGTGGGAGGCAGCAACCGAGAGGTTCATGGAGTACTCAGACCTCGACAAGGTTCTCAGCCAACCTGTTACAGAAGGCGTGCACAGAAGCAAGACGAGAAGAACAATTCAGAGTAATCTGTCGGACGCCATGGATGGAGGATTGGCGTTTGCTCACCACTGCCTAACTGGTAGCGAGGTTCTCAGGCTGGCAACGGGAGCGATTCCTGGTACGCGCGACTACGACAAGCAACACTGCGTGGACATGGGCCTCCTGCCGCCTCAAGTGCAGCACCCTGTATATGGTTGGTGAAGTAAACCAAACCTGCATCTGCATGCACTAAGTTACTGGATAGTTTGTAGGTACATATGTACTGTACATGACAAGTCATGTAGATCTTTGTAAAGTCTCGTACTGTAACATGGGTAACTAGTCTAAGCTATTGTTGTCATTGTATTGTACTGCTTGTAGTAATATTGTTTTTTGTCAGTAAAATTGGAGCTTCAAGTATATATGGTACGTTGGTACTAGGTTCCTTGTCAACATGAAGCTCTCCTTTGTGCAGACAGCAAGTTAATGGTATATACCTTTTCAAAGAGTGGGAGAAAACCTAACTTTGTAAATAGAACATGTGATGAAAACAAGGTGTGGTTGGATGCCTGAAAGGATCCAGTTAGCTACTGATAGTTGTATGGTGGGTGTTCTAAGAAATATTAAGGTTAGATTTAAACTGTTTTATCGAATTTTCAAATTACTTCTTGTTTTAGGTTTGTTCTAAGTCCAGGGCTGGTTCTATGATTTTGAGGGCCCTAGGTGAACTCATTGTGATGGGACCTCTAAGCTATACATAAAATTTTATAATATATATGTAGACACTAATTTTACTTGTAAAACGAAAACAAATATATCCATATATTAAATTTAACATGTCTGGTAATTATCAAGAAATTAAGTCGACTAAAATAACAATATATTTGTACCTTGGAACTAATATCATTATTCATTAACCTAATGAAGAATAGAACCCCATCATATCCATTGTTTCCCGTGAAAAGATACTTCTTTGGGCATATCTTGATGCAAAATTATCAAGAAACGGTATTAAGATCAATAGTGTCCAAGATATCCTTCTCGATTGAGCACATAGCCAAGCCATTTAACCTTTCTTGCGATATAGTTAATCTCAAATAGTTCTTCAACAACTTCAATTTTGAGAAACTTCTTTCAGCTGAAGCTACTGTCACAGGTACAGTTTACAGAATTCGATAGGCAACTGAAATATTTGGATAGCAATCTGCATCCATAACAAATTTTAGAATCTCAAGCACGGACATCGAAGAATCTGGCAAACTCACTTACAGCACCTTTTAATTCTGAATAAAAATCATTGATCTCAACATCGGATGAGGTACTAGACTAGTATTAGGTGTTGACTCCCCTCCCCCCACACCATCATGGCCCCCGGCAATCACCTCGGCTGCATAGGGCCAAGTCAAACATACGTATTTAACGTCAACTTTTAGAAATTCATATACTTTAGCATCATAAGATTTATGTTTTAGATTTATTATGAGAAATGCTTTCATAATACATAATTCACATATTATTAACCTACCAAAACTTTTAAAAATTAGTGGTGAAATAACATCTTTTTGGCTTGGGACAAATCTATAACGTTTTACATATGGAAAAAAGGGGTCTGCGATCTGTACAGTCTGTGTTTAGTTTGACATTGTTCTTGCTGAATTTGCATGTTGTAGTCAACCATAGCGTATACAATTAAGCATATTTCTACGTCAACGCATCTCCACATTAGATGGTTGTGCAGGTTCTACACGGACTCAATGATTGCACACTCACCACCGCCACCCAACTATAAGTGATGATCGATTAATTAACACATCGCCGACCCACTCAATGATGCCTAAAAGTCTTGAGGATTTAATGGAGAGAAGATTCAGTAGCTAGCCTAGCACTGACGATATCTCCATATACTATCATGCATCACTCTCACACTCTGCGAATTAATCAACAAATTAAGCAACTTACTCCATCGGTCTTATCAGGAACAGCGTGTCTTACTGCAGATTATATTAATTACTACTACTACTTTTCTGCAGTAGTAGCATTTTGCATCACTCATCATGTATTAATCCAACATGGAATGGGCTTAGCTGCAACTTGCAATTAAGCAGCATCTCCCAAGCTTGTGCATGTGCATATTGATGAAAATTCTGCATTGAAATTTCGTAAGATTTGCATGGTTTTTGACTTGGTTTTGATCCGGATCATGTCACATCATGTGCGGTGGCGACGCGCCGGCGCCTGCATCAAGTGTATCTAGCTGAATGTTACCAGATCTGTGCAGCTAGCTAGCTTTGGAGACTGGTTTACCTTTCAGAGTGCATAATATATCTCCAAGATAAGAGTCAGAGAACATCAAAGCAAAATAAAAGGGATAATATGTAATGTGGTACAACTGAATTGTCGCCCTGTACTTATCCTGGTTGAGTACCCATTTAACAAGGATAAACATCTGACTGTTTTATCATGTCTGTCGCCTGGTGATTGATTAGATCATCTTAACTCCAAATACGTCTGAGTTTTTAACAGGTCCTTCGGCACAGAATCAATAATTGGTTTTCTACCGTCTAAGTCAGGTTTGATTTGTTCATATGTCATTATATTAATTGATCCCTTCGATCATAAAAACATATCATTTTGGACATTGATATGGTCTTCGGAATATAACTTTATCCACAAATTTATACGGCGGAACATTAAAAAACCCAATAAAATTATAGCATTACGGAAGTCAAATGTCACATGTAGTTTTCATTCATCCAATCCAAATATTTAATCAAAATTTTAAAGTTTGACTTAAAACATATCCAAAACAACATGCCTTCAAGACCGAAGGGAGTATGAAACTTAGAATTACCTAGCTAAACTAGCACCTTGAACCGCTGTCCATGGATGCAGATGCAGGTTATACACTTTGAGTCAGAAACCATCGGAGCAGAGGAAAGGCCTGAGATAAGCATTTGACGTGGAGGTTTATTTTAGGTTTGACAAATTGACGTACTACAAACAATCATGAATATCATATTTGTTGTTTCATTCAAACCATCAGATGTGTAACACTTAATTATAGTGTAATTTTTATCGCCTCTTTTGAGGACCTTTTGGTTATGTACGAGAGAAAAGGTCGCCTAAAAGAAAAAGGAAAACTATACACAGAGTGAACAGCTGATAGATTCGGCTGTATGATTTTCTTTTTCTCCCCTCCAAATATGAAGAAAAGGTCTTCTATAAAAGAAACAAAACTACGCAAAGTGAACGGCTGATAGATTCGGCTGTGTAATTTTTTTCGCTCCAAATTAAATATGAAGAAAAGGTCATGGCCGGTTGAGCCAAATGTGACTAACTACACACTCTTAACTTTATTTTAGTTTGTTCTCTCTGATTCAGTAACTCCAATTTCCGATTAACAATATTTTTTACTTGGCTGCTTCAAGTGATCTAGAAGCAATCAATCAAGAATGGTGGAGAGAAAAATTCAGATGCAGAAAAGGTATCTGCTAATTTCTTCCGGTGGCATTACGGTCATGAAGCAAAAGTAACCAGCACACCAAATTATTCTAAAATCCAATATAGTACTATCAGTCTAATTAATTGATAGAAGGTGATGCCACTGTTCAATTAATATAATGCACAATTCAATGAAATTATTCCATGCATATTGAATAAGAAAATAAATGAAGGACAAGGGATCAGTGTCTTTGTACATGTTATGAGTCACTAACTTAATTATGGGAGATGCCTATCAAATCCCAAGTTAAGAGCAAAATGTTGGATTTTTCATATTTGAGCTATATATACAAAAGAAAGGCTGGGCAAGATTATGCATAAACAGGTAGTCTAAAACAAAATGGCATGTAACAAAGCACAACTTAACAGCTTTATATCATGTTAGTTTTTTTCCAAACAAAATCATAATTACGTCATATTAGTCAGTGAATAGTTAGACAGGACCAAATAAAAGTAAAAATACATTTCAAGTCTCTAACTTAGCTAGATGAATTAAGGATCCAAAACTAACGCAAGAATGCAGCATCCTTCCCTATGCACAGTGACTCTGTAGTCCTATCTGAAACTCCACATCATGACACATGAATATCATTTTGGTACGAATCCACATGATCAACCCAATAATGTATCAAGCTCTCTATCTAATAGGCTTTCGCATGAATGCTATGGGCCTCAAAATAGTGTCTTTAATTAGATGCTTTCTCCTCTTATACAGCTTTCTACATGCATTATTCTTGCTTGGTGTAAGAAGGTTATACTGTATCTTAAGCAACATGCAAACTCTCATATTCAATTTTCCCCTCCAAATAACCTAGAATCATATAATTAGATGGAGTAACTATAAGATTGTTGATAATGCCCATATGAAGCACATCCCTAAATTTGAAGTTTAATGAATAATTATCTTTTTGCGACCATCTATATACTGGTATTGTTCTGTCTAGCATAGCTGTACACAATCCTTTTGTATTCACAGAGGGAAGCTGTGACCGACATAACATCAAATTAATTAAACACTTCATTTGAGCAGGAACAGCGTGACCTATTACAAATAAATCAACAATTATTTTTTCCCTTTGGTGAGCACATTAATTTGATACATGTAATCTAGGCAATGAAAGATTTATAGTGTATTTTTGTACAGAATTAATGAAAGATTTACAGTGTATTTTGTACATTCAGATCATAAACAAATTAAAGAACTAAAAGTAATCACAAAATCTAATTAACTACTAAGAGGAGTGCAAATTAAAGCATGTGCTCCTCTTAGCAATTAATAATAATTAATAGATCGGTGGATGGATGTGATGGTGATGAAATGATCAGGAGGGGTAAGAAGCCTTAAGGTGAGCTTGCAAGCATGGCGAGTCCTTCCAAACCCTAGCGTTCGCCCTGAGCATCTCCCTCGCCCTCGCCCTGGCGCGCTCGCCGCCGTCCGCCTGCAGCACCAGCAGCAGCTTCGCCACCACGCCGACGGCGAGCATCTCCTGCAGCACGGCCGGCGTCGCCGCGTTCCTCGCGACGGCGTGGAGCGCGCGCACGGCGCTCTCGGTGGCCGCCGGCGACACCCGCATCGCCCTCTTGGACACCACGGCGAGCCCCGCCGGGTGCGCCACCAGCTCCGACCTCCCCTCCGCGCACCCGCACAGGTGGTCGATCGCCACCACCGCCAGCTCCGCCGCGCGCCGCCGCCCGCCGCCGCCCTCCTCGTCGAGGAGGAGCTCCACCAGCGCCGCCACCGCGCCGGCCTCCACCGCCTTCACGCGGTTCCGCCCCCACGGGCACAGCCGGCACAGCACGTGCAGCGCCGCCTTCACCGCCTTCGACGACACGCCGTCGGACACCACCCGGACCACCTCCTCCACCAGCTCGGGGCTCACCGCCATCAGCCGCTCCGGCGGCATCGCCGACGTCACCGCCTTCAGGAGGAGGATGGCATACGCGCGCGAACGGTAGCTCGGGCGGCGGAGCACGGAGGCGAGGGTGTCGAGGAAGCCGACGCCATTGTCCTTGCCGAGGACGCGGCGCAGGGTGGGCTCGGACGGCTTGAGGGAGTAGAGCACGCCCAGGGCCTCCTCCTCCGGCGAGCTCGTCGACATGGGGGAATCGATCACCGAGTCGAACAGGTCGTCGTCGTCCGAGCTGGCTGAGGTGGAGGCGGCGGCATGGCTCTGGACGACGACGGAGACGAGGAACTCGACGGCGCCGGGCGTGGCCTCGACGCAGCGCTTGTTGCGGTCGCTCTCGGCGGCGATGGCCTTGATCTCCCGGAGCGCGGCGAGCTGCCGCTGCCTGCCGCCGCCGCCGAGCATCGTCGTCGTCCCCTCGTCGACGAGCGCGGCGACGCGGCAGGAGTCGACGGGCGGGCGCGGGGTGGGGAACCTCTCGACGGCGTGCGCGGCGCACCACGCCTGGATGAGCCGCCGCAGCGTGTGGTTGGGCGTCGCCTCCCGCTCCGCCGGCGCCAGCTGCCGCCGCGTCACCGGGCACGTCCCCTTCCCCCCGTCGCCGCCGCCGCCGCCGAACATCCACCGCTCGATGCTGCTCCGGTCGTAGGTGATCCCCGTCGCCAGCGTCACCGGGTCCCTCATGATCTCCAGCGAGATCGGGCACAGGAAGTAGGACGGCACCTCCGCCGCCGCCTCCTCCATGCTCGCTACTACCACGAGACGAGTTCGAGCTCGAGTTGATCGCGAAGGAGAGAGATCGATGGGAGGAAGAAGAAGAAGAGGAGTTTGAGTTGAAGGGAATGAATTGGCGGGAGAGGGGAGAAGCGCGTTGGTTTTATAGGGCGAAGAGACGGAGGCGCGAAAAAGTCCACGCGCGCGGGTAAAAAAGGAGGGAGACGACCAGGGTTGGTATTAATCAATTTAATTTAATTTAATTACGGCGATGAACAGTGAGCGTTAATTTAAATTAATTAATGTCGTGCCGGTTTTTTTTTCCCCGTCGCTTCACCATGCCGTGTTGGTGTGAAATGTGCCGACACGTACGAACGCGTATGTGCCGTGGGAAATTGGATAGGTGGCGCGAGTAATTAATTGTACCTGTTTAAACTAAATTAGTAATTACTATAGCTGTTTAAATTAAATTAGTTTCGGTAAATTGGGTGGTAAAAACGGGTGGTTGTGTCGGGTCGGCGTCGGACGGCTCGTCCGCGCTGACCGAGTGACCGGACAGCGGCTCAACGGTTTGGCTTTTAATGGATCCCTTCCTCTCTTCTTCTTCTTCTTCTTGTTTTTTTTTTAACTACTATTCTGCTTCTTCTTCTTTGTCTTTTTGCTTGGTCTTTTCTTTTCTTCTAATCGCTTACCCTTGAAAGATTCCGTTCCTAGCCGATCGAATTGGCTCTAATTTGAAAATTCTGCCCTGTTTAATGGTATTCATTTCTTTCACACATTTTTTAATTCCCCCTGTGGCTATTTCGGTTACTTTTGTGTGGTGGAGAGAACAACCACTACTGCCACTACGAATATAATTTCATGCTTATGGTTGATCACAACTGACTAAGCTTGAGAAACGCGTATTACCACTTTTAGCCCGAGGAGGTGTTGTACGTAGAAAATATTTTTACACTATATATTATGGTATAATAAGTAGTAAAATGTTTTTATAAAACAAATTGACAACCATATCATGACACTGCTGGAGAAACGGTTTTTACTCCCGGTTATAGCAACCGGGATGAGCCAATCGTAGTCCTAGTTGAGAGAACCGGTACTTAAAGTTACATAGCAAATGAAAAATACATGTGGGATGTGGGTTTAAATTCAAGATCTCTCACCTCAGTCCTCACGCACGTAACCATCTCATCAGTCCTCACGTACGTAACCATCTCACCTACTACACACATCTAACTTGAATAGAGATGTTGTCCTTTTGAACTAACTCTAGAGACATCTTTAGTCTGAGTTGGTGTTAATTTTTAGTTCGGGTTGGTGTTACCAACCGGGACTAAAGATCATTCATCTTTATCTTTAGTCTAGGTTAGTGTTACCATCCTAGACTACAAATCAATTTTTAGTCCCGGTAACATCAACCTAGACTAAAATGTTTTGAGGGACTTGAAACACTTTTAGTACTGGTTCTTAATCTAACCAGGACAATTGTGATTTTGGGTAACATGGGAAAATATCAGTTCGCCACTAGTGTGATGATATCTATAACAATAAATTATTTTTTTTGAGAGGGTGCAACTCAGGACGCCACGAACACAAACGCACACATACGCGTGCGCGTTCTTAACACACGCTAGAATTGAGATTGGAGGCACAAGGCTACCGGGATAACCGAAATTGATCCCGGGGAAACGGGGAAAAAATCCCCTAGTGAGACACGCGAGTTACGATTCCAGGGATCGAACTCGCGTGGCTGCTTGCTCACCTAGCGACGCTAGCCATCCGAGCGACGCTCGGTTCCCTAATAATAAATTATTTTAAATAGAAAGAGTTACATATTGGGATATGATATGATGTTTTACATATTCTGATGATATCTAGTGATATGTGCGTTGTGTGGTATAAAATTTAATTATTCTTTTTTATTTAAGTGCAGATCAAATTTAGACTTGTATATTTATGTGTAAACTTATAGCATCACTGAATCTATCCACTATCTCTCTTTTTTAAAAGAAAATGTCTATAACTATTTAAACCGCATGTAAGTAATAGTAGGTGTAATTACATTCCTCTACTATTTTAAAAGTGGAGTAAACTTTCTTTTATCTCCTACTATTGTCACTGCGAAGCACATCCATAAGCTCCGTGTGAGTAACCACTAGATCCAATGTTTGTTTTGCACAGTAAGCATGACAAATCTAAGTCCGTATTATTGTTAGTAACAAAAACTAATTGAAACCGCTCGTGTACGTGGGACAGTGTAAAAACATACGCACACTTACGTGAACAAATTAGCGGGATGAATAGAACAGTATTACGGTCCGTATATATCTTCTTGCCATGACCAAGAGCCGTAATACCAAACAGCCGTACTCCATGTGTAACACGTGCGGTTATATATGGAACAGTACACCCAATAACTTGCACGTGTCACTGTCACAAAACAACGCATAGCGGCTTTTAGCCTGCTTGTCCTGACCTGCACCAAATTAAGGCGCACACGTTGGATTTGGATAGTAGTAATTGCGATGAATGTGCAAGCATATCAGCATATATACATAGGCCCTGCTTAGTTCAAAATAATAAAAGTTTTATTATTTTAGAACACATTTTTTTCTAAAATGGATCTAAATGCTAGTAACAAAAGTTAGCAATTTAGCATTTGTCATTTGGGAGTCTACAATAGCAAATTTTGTTAAAAAGTGCGTTGGGAGTCGTGCTCTCCCTCTACTAACACCAACTAGAAAAACTTCAATGCCAAATCTTTTGTCAAAAAAATTTACCACATCAAATCTATCTATTATATACTAAAAGTACATGAAACATCGTACAAACGCTTCTAATAAACATGTGGCATTCCTACAAACATTACTAGGCCGCCACATTTTCCTTTAAAAATTAGCACCAATTAAATTTATATATCTTTTATAAAAAAAGGCCCCCATCGTAACATGCAATACGTACGTACGTCCCGTGCAATTCTTGCACGCTCGTAGGTACGGAAGGTCCGATTCCCCTGCCCGGCCTTTCTTTTTTTTTATTTCATGGATTTATTCTTTTAATTGTTAATATTTATGTATTTATGTCTACTATATACTTTTTAAAAAAGGTCCATTAAATTTTCTTAAAATACTCTTAAATCATAAATGGCGCTCTAATAAATTAGAGATAAATCCTAAAAATTCAACATCTAAGCATCGTTTTTTACTTAAACCGATAAACCCTTAATTTTAGAAATTAGATTATATTGATCATAAAATAAATTAGAAAAAGTGCTCTTAAGTCTCAACTCTCCTGATCTCTATATACATACGTGCATGCATATTTGATCGATCCCAACAGCAAACTTTGCCGCTGCAATAGCTGCACGCTTTGGCCCCACAAAAATAATTAATTAGAAGCTAATAATCCAATTTTATTTGAAATTAAATTAATTTTCAAAGAAAATCCTCGAAGATTTTTGAAAAAGAAAAAAACTAACTGCGTACAATCACGGTTGCTAGCTAGCAACGTAGTTCCAGGATGATAGTATGCTTATATAGCAAAAAAAAAAAAAATTGACGAAAATCCAGCAGGAGAGGCTCCTACTAAAATGCATTGGCAATAGTAGATATTTACAATCCCAAAAAGTTCTGAGAGGGAGAAAAGAAGAAAGAAGAAAATAGAACTTATAAGAACAAATTACAGATTATCTAGTCATGATTTCTAGGGTGGTCTGTCTGAGCTTTAACCCTATGCAAAAGTAGGGTAAAAACTATATAGCGAAAATCAAGAAAATGCCATTAAATTTGTGAAAAAAACCACAAAGATTTAAATTTGAGCAAGAGAAGTGTTGGCCTCTGGTTTTGAACACCGAAAATGTCATGTGTTTAGCTGTATTAATCCCTGGATCAGTAACACATTCATAACCAAGCAATACATACAATGAAATGAATTTAGGCTAAAAGAGCGTAATGCCTTTACAAGTACCACTAGGGTCTTGCCCTATCACATAACAATAGTGGAAAACAAAAATATATATAATATTATTTTGGACCATATTTTAACCATTTGCATCATATCTACAAAGAAAATGGGCAGCATAGATTATAATATCATATATCACTTTGCAAACATGTATAACTAAATTAGCTCTGCAATGCCTGAAAACAGAGTTTGCACCATTATATTGTTTACCATTAAGTTAACAAAACATGATCTATATTAACTATATTTCAACTTGTAAAAGAAAATTATATTTTAGCTCGTATTTTTATTCTTTCCATGTAATCCAAACAAACATAAAAATTGTGAACAAGATGACAATATATAGCATATCACTATATATCCATTATCAATTCATAAATACACACAACTAAATTAGATTTATGATGGCAATAAGTAACATGTCATATGTTGACGCTTTACATGGCATTCGAGAATTATGACAAATCATGAAATTTTATTTAATGATATGGATTATAAATTTGATTATCACGTAGGATCCAGTCTATTCGGCCCATGTCAGTTCATAATTATACATGACTGAATTAGATTTACATGCTCGCATCTTGGCACTCTACATGGCATGGGAGAATTATAAGAAATCATGAAATTGTTTTTTAAGGTTTTAATGATATGGATTATATCATCATATAAATATGCCTAAAATATAGTTTCCAGTCTATTCGACGTATACGGGAATAACCTAAAATATCAATCTTATTTACCACCATGTATAAGTTATATGTTTTGGCGATTATATTATGCCCTAAATAATAACTAAAAGAACAGAGAGAGTACACATTATTTTTTTCTTCTTTGATTTCTAATGAATATGCATGATGTGTGGGAACTTTATACTAACTTTAGTTAATTAGGAAACACAAATAATACAAAACTTATATATGAGAATTCATGCAATAAAAAGAAACTTTATAATAAGAATTGCCCTAATACAAGCATACGTTAGTCTTTGACACTTAAACATTTAAAAATACTCTACACATACTAATTAAAAATACACTAGCATATAATTGCGCTCTTATTTCAAGTAGAATTCATTTCAATGAAAATAAGAAAGCGTGTGAAAAAGGACAAGTAAACAGAATTTTATCTTTAATTAGATTAAACAATTCTATTTGCCATTTTTTATAGAAATATCCTCAATTAATATATCTAAA